AGCTCCAGTTTCTTCTCTATTGGGTCTCAATTGCAACAGATTCCTGGGTTCCATGTATTATTAAGTGGGGTTATGGGGTCAAATTGATACCTTTCCTCCATTTTCGAATATTATTCTGATGGTGTGGTCATTTGCCATACAAGTAGAAGTTAACTTCTTGGTCTTAAACAGTGCCATTTGCCGTGTTCCTGCTTATGATTACTACCAACAGTTTCTTCTTTATCATTCTGAAAAAGATTATTCCAACCAATTCTGGACCTATGGATATTATTACCACCAGGAGATTCAGAATTATCATTTTCTATACAGGCCTGTGATTTGCTTCAGTAGAACTCAAGGATACATAATTTCATATCATGATTAGTCCTCTCAAAGCTTCCTTCACTTTGTGGCTGATTTAGGATCATCATCTTCATCACCATCATCACAGTTATATGCCACCCTGTAGCCTATATGGGGCTCTCTGGGTTGCTTAGAATAGAACAAGGAAGTACACATTCCATATAAATACAATAATATATTCACACAATACAATCAAGCAATGCAATATTTAACTGTAAGGATTGCAAAATCAAAGCAAAACTTAACTAATATAATACACAATATCATAATACATAATATGTATTATGTATATAATAATATCAATGCATAATAAACTATCAGTATCAATAATAAGATATAGCTATAATCCCCCCACACACGAAGCCCATCAGTGCCTATTTAACTTATATGCAGAGCACATCATGAGAAAGGCAGGACTAGATGAATCACAAGTTGGAATTAAGATTGCCAGGAGAAATACAAACAACCTCAGATATGCAGATGATACCACTCTAATTGCAGAAAGTGAAGAGAAACTAAAGAGCTTCTTGATGCGGGTGAAGGAGGAGAGTGCAAAAGTTGGCTTGAAACTCAACATTAAGAAAACTAAGATCATGGCATCTGGTCCTCTCACTTCCTGCCAAATAGATGGGGAAGAAATGAAGGTAGTGACAGATTTTATTTTCCTGGGCTCCAATATCACCACAGATGGGGACTGCAGCCAAGAAATTAATAGACGCCTGCTCCTGGGGAGGAGAGCTATGGCAAATCTAGACAGCATGCTAAAAAGCAGAGACATCACCCTGCCGACAAAAGTGCATATAGTCAAGGCTATGGTTTTCCCAGTTGCAATGTATGGCTGTGAAAGCTGGACCATAAGGAAGGCTGAATGCCGAAGAATTGAGGCCTTTGAATTGTGGTGCTGAGGAGACTCCTGTGAGTCCCTTGGACTGGCCAGTCCTAGAGGGGATCAACCCTGACTGCTCTTTAGAAGGCCAGATACTGAAGATGAAACTCAAATACTTTGGCCACCTAATGAAAAGGAAGGACTCCCTGGAGAAGAGCCTAATGCTGGGAACAGTAGATTCCCAGCATTAGGCTCTATGCTGGGAACAATAGATTCCCAGCATCTGTCATCATAGATGGCAAATAGATGGCAAAAGAAGAAGGGGACAGCAGAGAATGAGGTGGCTGGATGGAGTCACTGAAGCAGTTGGTGTGAGCTTGAGTGGACTCGGGGAGATGGTGGAGGACAGGAAGGCCTAGAGGACTGTTGTCCATGGGGTCGCAATGGGTCAGATGCAACTTCGCAACTAACAACAACAACAGTTACTTACATACCAGTTCTGTGTGTCCTGGCTAAGTGAATTGTGATTGTTTGCACCTTTTTCCACACCAAAGATGCACAGGTCTAAGCTGGATGATTGCTGGTACAGTCAAGAAACAGGCTGCTTAATGCACCTAGGTTCACGAAGAAACTTACAGGCCCTTACCTTATGTATCAGTCTTTAAAAGCCATATCTGAGCTCCGCCTAGGACAGGGGTCAGCAGCCATTTGGACCCATTTCCCACACAAAAGAAATCACCAGGAGCCGCAAAACCCTTTTGACATCTAAAATGAAGATAACACTGCATATATCATTTTTTACCTTAATGCTATGTATATCTTCATTATGATTTAGCTGCAGCTCTTGTTCAGTCACTAAAAACTGTTATTTTTAATCTTACATTATAAACTAGTAGGACTCCATTCAAAATAGGAGAACAGCTTCCTGGAGAGTCAAAGTCAGTGCTAAAGGGCTGCGTGCATTCAACAGCAAACCCCATAAGTTCGTCAGCAGTAAAAGCAAATGAATCTACCCACGTATCATTAAACGTTTGATTTTCTTCAGAAACTTTTCTTCGATTTATCCATGGTTGGCCTACGGTGTGTGTGGGGGAGGGGGGAGCTCTAAATTGGTGCGGATCCGATCCGCAGATTGGCTGGAGATATAGGTGTGTTTAGTGACTGATTAGCAAATAAACAGTCAAGTGCTGTGAGTTGTGACAGGTCCCAAGCGCAGCTTATAACATTCAGATGAAGAAGATTACATTGGGACAAAGAGAATCTTTTCAGCAGCATTTTGTGTAACATGAGAGCCTGCAGGAAGCTTGTTTAACAGAGAAATGTAGCAATTTACTTAACTAGCTAGCGCTGGGTTCCTGAGTGGAGCTTCGAGCAGATCAACAGCTGTGCCAGCGCGTGTTTTGAGCGACGGAGCTTCAGCAGAGGGGTTCAAGAGCCACGTGCGGCTTCAGAGCCGCGGGTTACCGACCCCTGGCCTAGACTATCTTGTTTACCAGCTTCATCCTGGATTTCACTTCAGGTCAGGCCTACTTAGCTTAAGATTTTTTACTTATTCTGCTGAATCTAGCACACACAGTACTCAGCTTCTAGCTTTTACCATCCAGTGTCATGCTGGTTTGAGGGCTGCAACTGTAATGGTTGTCCCTTTCTAGTGGTTTTATTCCAGCAACTTTCTCGTGGACTCCCTCAGCCGTGCTTACCAACTGTTCCAACAATGTGAACTGAATCCAACAGTCAGGATGTCCCTCTTCTGGAAATAGGGGACCTACCTCAAAGAAATCTTTGCTACTCCAATGAAAATGGCTCTATGGCACTCAAATTGTGGTGGGTGCAGGTTCATTAGGAAATACTTTTCTCTTTTGATGGGGAAACAGACTATTCTACCTCATTTCACCATTCCTATTATTAGTGAAAATCCTTGTGAAAGTACAAGAGGACATCACAGGGTGTACACCAGCCTTGGATCGCCTCCTTTCTTTGTTGTTCAGAGGTGGTTTCTTCATCTTCCCCTCATCCCAAATTTGCTAATATAGAATCAGGGTTGAATCCAATATGTAGAACTGAGAATGCCCCACTGTGGAGTGTGAAGGCTGCATTAGGCTTGCACTCACCTGTGTTTTAGCCAGCAATCCAAAAATATTTGGAAGCCACTCACAAGCCCTCCTTGAGGGTCTCCTGTTCAAAGAAATGGGAAGTATACTTTCCCTTCATGCTGTAGAGCTTGAGCCTTCTTCCTGTCTTGTTTCCTGTGTTTTATTTATGTATAATTTATTATATTTGTATATCACTTTCTTTCCTGCAGGGACCCAAGTCAGCTTACATAATCCTTTTCATATTAACCACATAACACCCCTAATTTAGGTTTAGAGACAGTGACTGGCCCAAAGTTACCCAGTGAGCTTCATGACTTAGTGGGCACTAGAACCCTGATCTCCTGGGTCCCAGTCCAATACGCTAACCATTATTACCACTGTTTCAAAAGGGTTAAGTCTTTCTTCTCTCTGGGTTTATTTGGCTGCTATATCTGTCTTCTCCCTTCTCTCCCCTCCATGCATAATTTTGTTGCTGTTTTTTCCCCATCTGACAGTTGAATGGTTTCTTTGAGGTGCTTGTAACATTGTTCCCCCTTGTAAAACTCCTTGTCCCCCTTTGGATCTTCTCTTTAATACTGGAAGCTGTCACTGGGAAGCCTTTTGAACCCATGACTACTATAGGTATCCAATTACTCTCATGCAATGTGGCATTCTTTGTTGCTGTTACTTCAGCTTGCCAATCCTGTGAGCTTTGTGCTGTGTGAGTATATTCTCCATTTCTGACTATCTACAAAGAGAAGATTGTTTTTTGCCTGGATGTTTCTGTCTTTCTTAAAGTGATGTCTGACTTGTATCTCAATCAAGATATCACTCTGTGTATTTTCTTCTCATCACCCACTGTACTGTTGGAAGTGAATATGCATACCTTGTGTGTGTGTGTGTGTGTGTGTGTGTGTGAGTGAGTAAAGCAAGATCTGAGACATTTCAAAAGTTGTTGCATCTTTCTATATGTTAGGGGGAACAGAACAAAGTAGTGTGAGTCTCTTCTCAATGTCTTTCATCCTATGTAGGTTGTCCAAACCATGCTCCTGCCTTACCCGCTTGTGGGTCTTGAACTTGATGTTCTGATCTGAGCCAACTCCATGCACGTATTGCTACATCAACGGCATTTGCTCAAGACATTTCACTGTAGGAATTGTTCTGGATAGCTATATGACTGAAACCATGCCTTTTCATTTGACATTGCTGGAAAGACATTCAGGCTAGAGCAGGCTGCTCCTTTGGTTGCATTGTGTTGTCATCCGTTCTACACTAATGACACCAATCCACTACCGGTGAGTCAGCTTGTCTGTTACCCATATGTGTGTTGTACAGGGACCATGAAAAAGGATGACAGGTTGCTTACCTGTAACTGTAGTTCTCCAAGTGGTCATCTGTGCATTTACACAGCCCGTCCACCCTATAGTCCACACACCAGCAAGGGTAAGAGGAGAGTTCTCCTTGGACTAATGTGAGCTTTTCTCCTGATACAAGTAGCAGTTAGAGAAGGGATTTTGTCAGGAAAGTGGCAGTAGACAATTAAATTCAGAATGTTGCTTTTTTGTTTACTCCAATAAAGAACATGAAGAGATATGGAAAATATAGTGTTAAATTTCCAGTGATAGGATAGGAAGACAAATTCATGTGTATAATTGAGCCTCTGAGTCAGCATGGCTGCAGCTTGAGGCAAAAGGGGGAGAAATCGGATCAATTTAAATTTCAGGTACTATGACCACTGTCTCTTCTATCCCTGTCTTCAGGTGCCCATCACTAACACACTATTGTGCTGAAGATGTCTAACAGCAACACAACACAGAAGACACTGGAGATAATGAAAGAGTCAGAAAAGAAGCTGATTGAAGAATCTGTGAACAAAAACAAACTTGTATCCAGGTCACCAAGCAAAGAGGAACATGAGAAGGATGGGGAGGAGAGCAGCACACGACAGGAATCTCAGGTAACTGGAAGATGATCCATTGCACACACAGTCATCCTGGTTGGTCCATCAAAGCCTAGTACTGACTAAAACTTGAACTCAGCTTTACAGTGTCTTGGGCAGCAGTTTTTCTCAGTGCTGCTGCTGCTGAGTTCACTGAAGTAGAAATCCTAGAGATTATATTCCAGACCTACCATCCTCATCTGTCCCAAATCTCCTGCTCCTTTAAGTAGCCTAACTCACTCTCCTTTGCTTCCTCCCATCCCTGAAGCTCCCTCCTAGAACACCACTGTAATCTCCCTAATCTTCAAACCCAGTGATCTCATGAAGCCTTCAGCATAATCATGTAGCCTTATCCCCAAACCAGTGAAGTCTTAATTTGTCCTGGGGTACCTCAATACCATGTTCTGCTTGTCCCTCATAGGAAATCTCTTCCAGACCATTCTTGTATTTTTTCTTCTGCTCTGTAGAGGCATCCTCTGGACCTGTCACATTGCAATGCCTGCTCCCTGTTAGGCCATGATGGTTTCACTTATGTGCATCCAAAGTGTAGCACTCCTCCCTCTAGACAATAACAACCAGGGACATACCTGAAATGGTCTGTAATGTGAATTCACAAGTTGCCTGCAAAGTAGAACAGAGGGCATAGCAATGAACAGACAAGATCCTGCCCTGAAATTCTTGAAATCTAAAGTAGTAGTGGAAATCTAAAATTAAGAGAGAGTGGGGAGGAACCAAATAGATATTGATATACAGTGTAAACATATGTGTTTTTGTGTACTTAAACTTCACTCTGGGGATGATAGCTGTGACAATAGAAGGTGAGCCTTGAGGATGGAGTGGAAGAAAGAAAGGGGAAATCTTAAAAGTAGATTATTAATGCTGGATTTGGCCACAGAATCTTTCTCTAGTTGAGTTGCATTTTATTTATTTACTTGACCTTTAGATAATCATAGGAGTTTCCTGCCACTGCTGTATTTGCTTTTGGCTCAAATCTACATGAAATTAGCTTGTTTTACTGCTTTATGTTGGGGGGGGGGAGAGGTTTTTTTATATACTCTTCATTCAGCTAAAAAGCTCTCTAAATGGTGAGAGCTTGAATATGTATTGAAAGTAGCATGATTTATGATGTGAACTTGACCTACTAATCCCAGACCCTTTTGAGCATTACCTCATTAACATTTGGAAATAGGCATAGGATTTCAGCAGCCATATACTTGGCTACTTGTCTAGGGACAAGTTGCCAATTTGCCCAGGCAGACAATTATCACATTGCACTTTCCTTGTCCATCACTTACCTTCATTCTTCCCAGGCCTATCCTGCTCTTTTAAAGTTGAAAATGTGCATTTATTTTATGCATAAATGTTTATTATATACATGTATCTTTATATTATGTTTATATCCCACCTGTTTTCCTGCAAAGTAACCCAAAGAATACAAGGCAGACTCTCCATTTTGTCCTCTCAACAATCCTGTGAGGTAAGCTAGGGTGAGAGTCAGTAACTTGAGCCAGAGTCACCTACTGAGCCTCATGGCTGGTTGAATGGGAGCTAGAACTCATATTTTCTGAGTCCTAGTACAGTGCTCCAACCCTTCTATCTCATTGGCTTTCAAGTTTACTAAATATTTTTCTCATTCCATAATAGTGCATTTGGTAGATGCATTTTGTTTCTCCTAGCATGTACTCTATTTTGCATATAATGCAGAGTAGCGGTTTCACTTTCCATCCTCCCAGTGTCTTGTCTTCTCTTGTTTTGTTTTGTTTATTTTATTTTATTTTATTTTATTTTATTTTATTTTATTTTATTTTATTTTATTTTATTTTATTTTTGTAGAGGCGAACATCTAATCATGGGCATGCCAGAAAAAGAGCCAAGGTAAGAGACCTGCCTGTTCCCTTTTTCTTGGTTGTACCATTCAAAGCCACTAGGGTGGGACTTGAGGAAGAGCTTGGGTGACATTGATCCTGCTGTTATACATTTTGGCACTGAGCCCCAGACATTTTCCTTTCTATCAGTGCTCCAAAATGAGAGACATTGAATAAATAGGAATGGTATAGAAATATTATAAATAAATAGTTCTCATCTGCTGCCTCATTCTTTGCCCTCTTAACCCTTGTGTGTAGCCAAAATAGGAATTCAGCATGCCAGATTTGTTGCTTTTTACTTCTAGGTATTGCATTATTTTTAAGATCACCCCAGATTGCCATTGTGCACTACAGTTGGGCCCGGAGCTACCATTCTGAGTAACTGTTTCATAACTATGAAGCTGCCTTCCTCTGGGAGACCTTACAGAAACCTGTGTATCTTATGGAAGCTATTCAAGGACTTGATATTTGGGCTGGCTTTCAGACCTCAGGCTTGGTATAATTTCTCACTGGAGAAATTGTGTCTGCATTGACCCACTTCATTCTGCAGGTGTGAATTCATGTGACTCAGTGCCCCCATACAGAACTTTTATTGCATTGAAGTTCTTTCTGATTGGATGTTGGGAAGGTATGGAGCAGCATCCAGTCATGTGATAATATATCTGCAGTCTGAAATGATACCTCAAGAAGAACTTGGCCTTTAGTTCAGGAATAATTGGGCTTTCAGTGCTTGTAACATTTTTGCTATTTTAGATTTGTTTTAGGGTACAATTGAATTTTTAAAAAATGATTGCTGTCCCAAGTTTTGGGTATTAAATAGCTATGAAATCGTACTTTTTCTCTGAGTTAGCTTCCATTTGTGCTTGCTACATACAACCTTTACATGGAAGAAAATACTTTAGCTATAGTTCTCAAAACCACATCTTACCATGACTGTGTTTTTCCAAATATTTGTGTGTTGCCATCTCCTTCCTCTCAAAAAATCATTTCAACAAGCAGTCTGAGACAGACCTTTATTTTAGATATTTTCTTTAAGTGGTACAAGTAGAATAGCTGTGTTTGTCAGAAAGCCATTTGAAATGGCAACTGTGGAATGACATGCTTTTAATTAAGGCAGAAAAAATTTCATTGTTGCCACTTAGAGTTGGTTTAACAATCAGCAGATTATTTAATGGGATTACGTGGTGCAGGGAAGCTCAGTCAATGTATTTTTCCTTTAAAGCATTGAGTTAGCAGATACTAAGTGATGGACCTGTTTAGTGTGCTCATCCTTTACTTCTTGTGGTGGTAGATGTAAATTGTTAAAGAGAGAGCAGTTTTGCTAGTTGTTTGTCCACATACTTGTATGTAATTGGTACCTACTGCTTCACCATGTGCAACCATTGGACAAAAATGGAATTTGTAGTTCTCTTTATCATCATAATTATTACTAGTTGACTAGCAGCTCAGTGTTTCATAAAAGAGAGCCTGCATCTTAGTACAAAGCTTTTGTTTTTTCAGTCAAATTCAAAACTGAAGTTAGTCCGAAGCCTGGCTGTATGTGAAGAGTCCTCTAGCCCTTTTGTGGATGGCCCATTGGACACCCAGGTATGCCAGATTGTTACTTTCATTGATTATTCTTTCTGGTTTAGAGCAGACTTAAAAGCTAAGCCTGTAGCAGCTCATATTTGTGCCTTCAGTAACTAAATAGAAAATGGTAGGCCAGGTTAAATTATAGTATGATGTTATCAGTATTTTATTAATGGTGTTTTAATGGCAAGACCCAATGTTCTAAATATTCTCATGTCAGCAAGTGCATACTCTGGCTGTGCTATGCCAGCTTTTATTTGAAAGTAATATGTTTAGGGTTCTTTGTTTATAAATTACTGTTTAATAGTTGATAGCCAAAAATGGGAGAACTCATAGTGAGACAGAGAAAGCTTTTAATCTTCAAGAGATACTAAACTATGCCAACAGTAAGCACACTGCAGGGGAGTATTGTGTTCAGTTTTGGGCCCCTCATTACAGGAAGGATATAGCCAGGTTAGAGTCAGTGCAGCATAGGGCCACAAGGTTGGTGGCCGGTTTGCAGGGGATGCCGTATGAGGAGAGACTGAGGGAACTGGGTCTCTTCAGCCTGGAGAAGAGGAGACTCAGAGGGGATCTGTTGGCAACATACAGGTATGTGAGGGTGTCACACGGAGATGGGTAGAGACCTGTTCTCCCCTGCAGAGGAAGGCAGGACGCACTCCAACGGAACAAAGCTCAGGGGGCCAAGGTTTCATTTGGATGCTGGGAAGTACTTCCAGGCAGTTAGGACCCCGAGGGTGTGGAATGGGCTTCCACGGGAGGTGGTTGAGGCCCCATCGGTGAGGGTGTTCAAGGATAGACCAGACATGCACATGGTAGGCATGTCGTGAGTGGAGCCGGCTGGAGCTGGGGGTCAGACTAGATGGCCCGGGAGACCCCTTCTGACTTGTTCTGTTTCTATGTTTCTTTGATTTGAACATCTGCTATATTTCTGTGCCCTAAGGTAACTGTCTGTGCACTATGTATTTGTAGAGAGCCAGTATGGTGTAGTGGCTAAGAGCACAGTACTGGGACTCAGGAGATCTGGATTCTAGTCCCCACTCAGCCATGGAACTCACTGGGTGATTTTGTGCCAGTCACAGACTCTCAGCCTAACCTATCTTACAGGGTTTGTGAGGATAAGATTGAGAGGAGGAAGAGAATTATGTAAACTGCTTTGAGTTCCTTGAAAAAGTGAGATATAAATTATAACAAAAATAATATAAAATAAATAAGCACATGGAATTTAAACAGAATTCCATGTGTTCATTATTACTTGATATCTTGCTGGGAGATGGCACAGGTATGGGTTTTGTGGGGGAGAAAGGAATAGAAGGACTCTCTAGTGCTTGGCCCACTTCTAATCATTTCATTTACTTAGGTATGCCATAAAACAGGTGCATAGCATCAATAGGTGATCTTCCACAAGAATCACAGAAGCAGACAAACATGCAGGTGGTCACATGTTGCAGTGAGAGAAAAACATGTCACAGTCATGAGCCAGTCTGACCCAAAGTAAAATTCCTTCCCAGATCAAAAGAACTGTTATCATACCATATTATCAGGTTTCTGTGAATTGTAAAGCATCAATTATAGCTTTTGTTTTTTCACTAGGATATCATACAGTTACACATCAGTTGTCCATCGGACAAAGAAGATGACAAATCTGCAAAAGATGGCCCTGAGAAAGAAGAAAAAGAAAAAAATAAGGAGAAGGCACCGAAGAAAATGTTGTCTAGAGGTAAGATAATCTCAGTCTCCAGTAAAGCCTATTCTTTGAAAAGTGGGTGTACAGGGATAGCACAATGTAAGTAAATAAATTTAAATGAAATGGGGGGCATCTACTCAGTCATTAACATGAGTTAGTTATCCCTCTAACAAACTTTGTTCTACAACTTCTAGAACAGGGGTCTCAAACTCAACTTACTTGGGGGCCGCTGGAAGTAGAGTCTGGGTGAGGCTGGGCCGCAGCCAGTATTCCACCACCACGTTGGTGATGGGCTGCTCATCCCACGGCCGGCCTGGGCGCCGCCGGTGCTTTGAAGGCCGCAGGCCCCTCCCCCGTGTCCCGCCCGTCCCGGCAATTGGCCCGCAGGCCGTGAGTTTGAGACCCCTGTTCTAGAAGTTTACACCGTATGGTTTGGTAACATTTAAAAACTTAGCTCACTTAAAATGGAGCAAACCAACAATTCATTCAGAAAACTTCAGTTCCACAGATTTGTGTGCATGGGCAAAGAAGGGTTGGGACCAGTTCTTCTGTTTTTGAAGACATGGGGTGCAGATCGAAGTTTAAAATGTGTAAAAGTGTTTTGTATGGAAGGCCTCGTGTTTATCTGAACAGACATTTTGATAAAATTGCCCAAAGACATTAGGGGAACTTTCATATTGACTTTAAAGAAAGCATGCATGTAATCTTTCCTACATGATATATGCATCTTAAGGCTCATCAGAAATAGGCAGAAGGTCTGATCAGAATGAATATAAAATGGTATTTGCACTGTCTATAGTATAGCGACAGTGTATTTGTGGAATTTACTCTGGGTTCTGTTTATTTTCTGGCTGGCACTGCTTAACTTTAATTGGTGCTTTCATGTTTTGCCTCATGGAAAACAGAAGAAAAAGGTATCATGATATTATTTTTAAATGCCTTTTGTGGAAAAAGGTGTTTGCATAAGTGTATTGTAGTGAGGAAAATGATTTGGCTGTTTTCTTTTCAGATGCTTTGGTTGAATTTTTAATTTTTTTGAAATGTAAAATAAGTATGCTGTGGTGTGTGGTAGGCAAACTTTTGAAACCTGTGGACACACTTGTCAAGGGTTTTTTTCTTTCTTTCTCTTTCATTCTTCAGGGTACATTTCTCCTTGTGGTCATTTGGGGCTGCATACACTTATTTTCAAGTTTCCCACTGTTCTTACTTTCATATTTTCCCACAGTACTTTCTGTCCCCCGATGTTCCAGATTTATGTTCTCCTGCCTACCTTTGCTGGGATCACCTTAGCAGCCATGGAGCCCTAACCTAGATGTAGGAAATCATCAGATCTGGTTAGGCCTTTGTGGCTGCTGAGGTGAGCTAGCCAGTGAGCAAGGGCTGGGGAAAATATACAGTGGGAGTAATGAAATAGGGGGCGGCTTGGTGTGAAGGGGTAAGGGGCTTTGATCAGTGCTTCTGCAGACACCATGTTTCCAGTCCCTGCTGTGGAGAGATACTAAAAATGTTCTCAAACTTCCATCCCCACAGTACCTCACAACTCCTCCAGTCCCCCAGTGACTGGGAAGGGACTGTTGCTTGGTGGTAGAGCACTCTCACATTGCATATACAGTGGTACCTCGACTCATAAACGCCTTAGTTTGCGACCTAATCGGGTCGCAAACAGACATTTCATAAACATTTTGCCCCAAGTCACAAACTCTGCATTGGGTGACGATCATGAGCGTGACTGCCTTCCCTCACGGGCATGATCACGATCGTGCTGGGTGGGGGGAGATGGCCACGATCTTTGTTGTTCTTTGTCACTTTGCTTCAAATTTTTGTGAGTTAAAAAATAAATAGTTGCTGAACAGATTAACCTTATTTACATTGACCCTTATGGGGCAATTTGACTTGGCTCATGACCAATTTGGATCACAACCAGAGTCCTGGAACAGATTAAGTTTGTGAGCCAAGGTACCACTGTAGAAGGGCCCAGGTCCAACTACTGACACCATTTGAAAAGATCAGATAGCAGACACAGGACCGCTGCCTGAGACCTTGGAGAGCTGCTGCCAGAGAAGACAGTACTGAACTAGAAGGACTAGAAATCATCTGACCTACCATAATCCATCTTTCTGTGTTCCTTTGAATGGTATCCATATTTGGGCTGCTCTTTATCACCCACCGCCATTTTACCTGCACAGAATCTCACTTCTCTTTCTATTCACCCATTTCTCCTTCCCCACAGGAGAAAGGTTTTTCTTTTGCCTTCTTTATAACCTGTGTACCTTAGAACTCTGTTGATACTATAACAATAGCCTTTTCTGATTGCTGTATGCAAAGCATCCCAGCATATGTACATCATCTTACCAGTGAGATACTCTTATGGTATGTTTTCTTAGAATGAAATAGCATAGCAACAGCCTTGCAATCTGCCACTTCCCCGTTCAACTGAGGCGAGCAGCCTTTTTTCCCAGGTGCCACTGAACATGGTACAGATGGAATTTTGTCCACCTCCCCAGAGGCTTTATGAAAACATTATAAAGTTACTTTAGCAGGCCAGTTAGTGCTTCCTGTTTTCTAACAGAACCCATCAGTTAGCTAGCTGTACGCATGGCTCATTATCATGCAAGTGGCAAGAAAAGAATCTGCAACATGGGCAAACAAGACAGGATAACTGAACATAAGAAATGTTCTTTTTCGTGGTCTCTGTGCATCACACATAATGGGGGCTGTGCCTGCGCAGTGCCTGTTGCTGGGTAGAATACAAAAGCTTTAACGGATTTTGGCAGGAACTCTGCACCCCTCCCCCACAGTGCTATATAGGGCAGAGCACCCGCCATTTTCCTCAGTCTTCTTTCGACCGCTGATTGCACTGCCTCGAGTTGTTCGTTATCGTTCATATCTCTTTACTATAATCACTTTTTTTCTCTTCCTTTCCCAGTTAAGATAATCCAGGTTTTATTACCCTTACCTTTCCCTAGTTAAACACTTTCTCCTTTTCTTGCTAAAATCTTAAAAAAAAAAAGTTAAAATTACTTCTTGTCTTCACTATCTTCCTCCTCGATGACTCAGTGCATGGCTTTTCGAAAGTGATCCAAATGCGGGGCCAAAATGTCCCCAATGGACCTGCATGAACTTTGTCTCCTGTGCCTGGGAGAGGGGCACCACACTGACAAATGCGACCTTTGCCAGGCTTTCACCAAGCAAGCCCAGAAAAATCGGGAAAATCAGCTGAGGAAGATCCTTTGGGATTGAGCCCTGATAGTCTCCGATGAGCTTGCTGCCCAGGCTGCTCCAGCTGGCCCCTCCATTGTGAGCTCCCCTCATCCACCATCTGAGGGAGCTGCTTCCAGGGAGACCATTCGCTCCTCCCATTCCTCCTCACTCAAACAAAAGAAGAGGAAACACACCAGCCAAGGGGATCTGTCGGTCTCGAAGAACTCTAAGAAGGACAAGACCGATAAGGCCAGGTGCAACCACCATAAGCCTGCCCAGGAACTGTGCCAAGACTCAGGTTCGACTGCTCCATTGGTCCAGATGACCTCATCAGTCCCAATGCCTTCAACACCGACACCACAGGCTTTGATGCAGGTTATGCCACCTGGATCCCCTCAGGGGGTCACGTCACTGGCTCCTACGGCATTGGATCCCCCTGAGCCCATTGTTCATGGATCAATGTCCAATGGGGAAATCCAAGACTCGCCTCCATGGTCGATACCGAGCCATCAACCGGCTTGCTCTCCGACGCCGATGCCATCATCGTCCGAGGCCTTTCCCACCACCAACCCTGCACTTTGGATCAGCCCGCCAGGAGCTGAGTTCCGATGCCTTACAAGGGCCCCGAACCACCCCGACCCTACTGCTGCAGCTATCCGCCTCCGTATGGCTACTATCCCATGCCACTGGAGCATGTTCACCGATCCCATCCTACCAGGTCCGAAGCACCTTCCACTTCGGCACCCGTGACTTTCCATCCTCCTCCATCTCCAGTCCAGTCATCCTCCAGCCCTCCATACTTTACGATTCAGACTCCAAGGACTCGAACCAATTCTCTACATCTCCTGATGCGGTCATCTCCACTCAGGGACCCGGGTCCCCTGAAGAGTCTTACGCCACCATGAGCCGCCTTACACAGTCCCTGGAGATTGAAGTCGAGCATCGGCCAAGCACCAACAAAGACAACTTTTATGACATCGTTTGTAAAGAACAATCCTCCTCCATATCCATCCCGCTCATCGCCACCCTTCAGGAGGCTATGGAGGATACTTGGGCACTCCCTAGCCAACCTCACCCGACATCCAGGAGGTACTAGTCAATGTATAAGGTTCAGGGACATGACATTACATTCCTCTTGAGACACCCGAAACCCAATTCGATTGTGGTTGAGTCTTCTCAGGGATGAGACAACAGAGAACACTCAACCCCTAGAGACAAAGAAGACAGGAAGATAGACCTGATGGCACGATGCATCTAGGCAGCCATGGGGCTGGGTCTCCGGATCTCAAATTACAAAGCAATGATGGCCAGATATCAGTACTTCCTGATGCAATGGCTGGAATCCATCACCTCTACTATTCCGGAGCAACAGCGCAACCTGGCCCGTGTTTTCATCCGGGAAGCCATGCAGCTCTCCATCCAACAGCTGACCATGGCCCACCATCATGTTGATTGCGACTCCCGCACACTCGTTGGATCCATTGCCCTCTGTCAACACGCCTGGCTACGTTCCTGCAGTTTCCCTGATGAGACGAAGAGCCTGATCGAGGGAATTCCCTTTGACGTTTCCAGTCTTTTCCATGACTGCACGGATCATAAGCTCAAGCACATCTACAATGCTCGAGCTACCGCTCAGAAGATGGAAATTCTGAATTCTAACCATCGTAAGTGGCCCCAGTCTCGCTATCCTCGGTACCAGCCCCTACCATCACTACCAACCACGCCTGCAATACCAACCACGCCAGCAGCACAACTGGGGCCAACTGGCCGCACGAAACCAAGGCTGCCGCCGCCAACTCACCAACAAGCGGTAGCGTTGATGGGCTGTGCGAGCTGATCTTCTCTCTCCTCTTCCACCCTCCCCCCCCCCGCTTTCGGGGACCGGCTGCAAAGCCAACTCCCCATTTGGGAGTCCATCACATCTGATAAGTGGGTACTTTCTATCATTGAGAATGGATATAAGATCGAGTTCAGCACCGTGCCCCCCTCAGGACCGATACGATATACCTCCCCGTCGGAGGTCCTCAGAGATGAGGTATCCCAACTACTCCGCAAAGGAGCAATTTGTCGAATCTCCCGTTCCGAGGGGCTTCATGGCTTCTATTCCAGATACTTTATGGTCCCGAAATGGGACGGTGGTCTACGCCCCATGCTTGATCTGTGGGGCGTCAATACATTCATTACAACTAAAAAAATTCACGTGACCACCCTACAAAATATCCTCCCCTTACTAAAGAGAGAAGATTGGTTTGCATCCTTAGATTTAAAAGATGCTTATTTTTATATCAGCATCCACCCATCTCACAGGCGGCTTCTCCGCTTCATGGTTGGATCTGATATCTTTGAATATAACGTTCTTCCTTTTGGGCTCACTACAGCTCCAAGAGTTTTTACAAAATGCATGGCGCTCGTCTGCACCCACCTTCCCCTACAAGGCGTACAAATTTACCCCTACTTAGACGATTGGCTTATTGTCTCCTCCTCTCAAGACCAACTCCTTTCAGCCATCGACACTACATGTACTCTACTGGATGACCTCGGATATACATTAATGCCAAAAAATCCTGTCTCACTCCTTCACAGGTCATTGAATTCATTGGGGCGTGTCTCGATTCCATTCAGGCAAAAGCGTTCCTCCCACGGGCTCAAATGGAGAACCTTTGCTCCTCCGCCAGATGCGTCCAGGAGGACGAACAAACCCCAGCATTGTCCATCCAGAGGCTCCTTGGGCACATGGCTTTGAGAATTACAGTTGTTTCGAACGCCAGACTCTGGATGCGGCCGCTTCAGCTGTGGTTCAACAGTGTATTCCAGCCACATCGCGACTCCCCGAGGCAGCCACTTCTACCTCCTGCCTCGGTTTGTCAGGCTCTGTCTTGGTGGACGAACAAAGACAGTCTCACAGTAGGCATTCCGTTCCACCAACAACAGCCTTCGGTATCGCTCCATACTGACGCTTCCCTTATGGGCTGGGGAGCACATTGCACCAACCTCCATACCAAAGGCACCCGGCAGGGTCATAAAAAGACTGAGCACATCAATTTTCTCGAACTGCTGGTGGTGTTCAAAGTGCTGCGTTCCTTCAAGCCCACCCTTTGGAACCAGTTGGTGCAGATAGCCTCTGACAACGTTGTCACCATTTTTTTGCATAAATAAACAGGGCGGCACGAGATCGGTACCACTGGCCCATCTGGCTCTACAGATTTGGGACTGGTGCATCCCCAGAGGGATCACCTTGCTTGTGATCCATCTGGTGGGGGTGGACAACGAGGAGGCGGACATCCTCAGCAGGAAGATGTCATCGACCCACGAGTGGGAGTTGGACAACCGCATTTGCAGGGACCTTTTCTCTCGTTGGGGCACCCCGTTCTTGGACCTGTTTGCCACGGCTACCAATTCGAAATGCCGGACCTACTGCTCCTGGGCAGGAATGGGCCCAAACTCGCGGGGCAATGCCAGGATGGTGAGTTGGTTGGATTCATTCCTCTATGCATTCCCTCCAATCCCGTTAATTACACCTACTCTGGAGAAGGCTGCCCGTGACAAAGTACAGGGCATTCTCATCACACCATGGTGGCTGCGCCAGCCTTGGTTCCTGACCATCCTCAACCTCTCCCACTGAATGTTTTTCCGTCTACTGTGGGTCCCTCACCTGCTCACGCGGGGTGGGGGGCGATCCTCCATCCCGATCTCGATTCCCTCAACCTCACCACGTGGCTCCTTCACTGACTGCTTACGGTCACTTATCTTCATCCCTGGAAAGCTCATTGGTCCCGATCGCCGCTGCTCATCCGCCGGTACCGGAACCACAGTCAGTACCTAGCGAGCTGCTTCAAACCATTTCCGTCCTGACTTCCCTGCAGTTGGAGATCACCTTCATACTGCAATCCGCCCTACGACCATCCACCCGCCGGTCGTACGAGGCTAAGTCTCTGCCTTTGTGGAGACCAATCACTTCCCTCCTAACTCTGCTTTCATCAACAATATCCTCTCCTTCCTGCTCTCCCTACACCAAGATGGCCTTCAACCCAGCTCAATTAGAGTGTACATTGCAGTGATTTCCCATTTTTGGGGCCCTTTATCCGGATCCTCAGTGTTTTCTCACATGCTCATCCGTCGCTTCCTCAAAGGACTACAGAATCTCCAGCCACCAACCTGGCCTTCGGTACCGACCTGGAGTCTGTCGGTGGTACTCCAGACTCTCACCAGAGCCCCCTTCGAACCGTTGGTGACAAATGACCTGAGACTGTTATCGTGGAAGACTGCCTTCCTCATCGCTATTCCGCAAGGAGAGCAAGCGAACTCTCTGCCCTTCGCATAGATCCACCTTATCTTAATTTTCATAAGAAAAAGGTTGTCCTACATACCGACTTGGCATTCCTACCTAAGGTCGCTACAGCCTTTCATGTCAATCAGGACATCGTCCTCCCAGCGTTCTTCCCCGCTCCTTCCACCCCGATAAAGAAATCCCTCCACTCTCTCGATGTACGCCGATGCCTAGCCTTTTATCGGTCCCACACCGGGAGCTTCAGAAAGACCAAGCGCCTTTTCGTTAAATACTCTGAACCCAACAAAGACGCTACCATCTCCTCCCAAAGGCTTTCAAAGTGGATCACTCAAACTATCGAACTGGTGTACCAGTTAGACAAGCTGGACCTCCCAGTCGCCTGCAAGGGGCACTCTACCAGAGCTGTGGCTGCCTCCTCGACTTTTTCAATGGGCATCCCGCTGCCAGACATTTGCAAGGCAGCGACATGGACAACTCCTTGCACCTTCACTAAACATTACAAACTCGATGTTCGGGCCAGACAGGACTGTTCCTTTGGCCGGGCTGTCCTCTCTTCGATTCTTCTCTGACAACACCGACCCACCTCTGGTTGGTCAGCTTGCTAATCACCCATAATGTGTGATGCACAGAGACCACGAAGAAGAAAGGCAGATTGCTTACCTGTAACTGTCATTCTTCGAGTGGTCATCTGTGCATTCACACAACCCGCCCACCAGCCCCACTCGGTGTTGGAGGATGAGACAGCAGACTCTCCCTAATGACTCCTCAAGTCGACCACGCTCTCCACTAGGGGGTGATCTGATGGTCTCCATAGACTGGGGAAAATGGCGGGTGCTCTGCCCTATATAGCACCGCGGGGGAGGGGTGCAGAGTTCTCACCAAAATCCGTTAAAGTTTTTGTATTTTACCCGGCTACAGGCACTGCGTGGGCGCAACACCCATTATGTGTGAATGCACAGATGACCACTCGAAGAATGACAGTTACTGGTGAGCAACCTGCCTTTCCTTATATTGAATCTGGTTATTGGTCTGTCTAGTCCTTTAGATTATTCTGCTTTGATTGGCAGTAGCTGTGCGAGGCATAAAGGCAGAAGTCTTTGCTAGCCCCGCTTCTAGAGGTTGTTGTAATGGATGTGGCACAATTGAACTAGGAGCCTTATGGATGTGGTCAAGTGCACTACTACTCAGCTATATCTCTCCAAATGATTATTTGCAAAGTACAGTTCAAGGTTCCACCAGGCTTCTGAGCATACAAAGCTTCTTCCATGCACAAGCTGTTCTGTTCCCTTTTGTCACGTCCTAAGTGCAGTATACTGTAGTTTCACTTTCATTTTTACTGCTTGCCATTCTCTCCTCACGTTTAGCTTCTTGTACAGATTTATTCCACTCCCAACAATCTTCTATTCATTGAATTTTTTGAAAGTTAGCACTTAAGAGGTAAGGGGTTGATTCTGTGTACATAGATTTGCAAAGGAACAATGGGATTAAGGGCTTTTCTCAATTCTTTATGTTTGTTTTATAACATTTTTGCTGTAAAGATGAGACATGTGATCTCTGGAGGCACAAATTCATAGTTTTGAGAACTGTAAAAAAATTATCTGTGGTAAGAACTTCTAGAAAGAAAAACTGCCCAATAATCTTACAGAAACCTCTGGAAAAGCATGACTGTGAATGAATTGATGGAATTCATTTACCAAAAAATTAAACATTCCATGGATATAAGCCTCATGCTACATATTTAAAAACTAATACTTATTTCATGATGAATAAGCTTTGGACTATCATATATCTTAAATACAAAACTACCTTTAGATAGATGTTTCCTCAAAAAGTATATTATTATAAAATTAATATTTGTGATTCTAATAAAAATTATTTTTATTTTTAAAAAATCATTGATTTTTATCCATCCTGGTGAGAATCATATCGGAAGTAAAGATCCAAGGTTGGGAACCAGTATGCTAGACTTAGGCTCTGCAAAAAGCCATTCCCATATTCTCCAAGGGAACCAGCTTATGTTGGTAGTAATGTTGATACTTCCAGCAACAATGAACCCAGTTCCTTGAACAGTGTCATAGTTTCACTGTGACCATATTTGTTATGAATTTTTGGATGTTTGGATATAATATCTATACGCAGGACATTACTTGAATTTGCTGTTGTTTTCTGTTATAGATTCCAGCCAGGAATACACAGACTCCACTGGAATAGATTTGCATGAATTTTTAGTAAATACACTGAAGAAAAACCCAAGGTAGGTTTCAGTATAGCTGTATGGCAGATTTGCAAGTAGAGAAGGGAGGTGTTCCTCCAAGCTTGCATGGTTGAAGAATCAATACGGATGTAATATTCTGAGAGCTTTTGCTAATCAAATGCTTCATAAAAGCCTTGAATAAATATAATATAGTATTCACTGCTGAAATCTAGGGTATTGGTGTTGAGCTATTTGTGCTTTTCTACTAAGGCAAGGGTGAACAACTTGTTGCCCCCCAGAAGTTTTGGTCTGCAACATCCATCCGCCCAAGCCAGCATAGCCAGTGCAGGTCAACTGGAAATAGCCAGCTTCAGGGTTTAAAGGTTGGGGCTAAGCAGCTAGTGGGTTGCTTAACTCAAAAGATGAGCAAATTGTTGTGAAGCATGAACTGAGAGTTCCCAGTCTGTCCATTGCTTCAGTTTGGTGCATGTATGTATTCCCCTCTCCATGGCCTTGGGCGCAGAATGGCAAATGTAACACCTGGACTGAGTGAGCTGGCTCACTGGGCCTTGGCAACATGTCGGCCATGTGTCGGTGTCAGCCAACTATAGCTGCAGTGGGGCAGCATCTCAGAAGGGTCCACTGCTGCTTCTTGTCTTAGAACTTCCTTTTTAGCCCCCACCCCCGTGTTCTGCTCAGTGCCTACATGGCTGTGTTGGGAAATCACTGCTTAATTTCCTATGATGCTGTGGAGCAATCCTTCGTGGAGGTTACTGAGGGAAATTACAAAGGGGACTCCCAAACCCAGCGTACTGGCACTGGTTGGAGTGTGGCTGCTTCTGCTGTCATGTCATCCCACCAGTGCCAGTTCATCAACATAGGAGGAAGACCACCAGAGCGCACTTGGTTGAAGGCTCTCTCAAACCTGGAGCTGCCCCTCTAAGTGAATTCTTAGACCATGAATCAAGATTAAATAGGATCTTGGTCTGAAAATATACTGTGGTATGTATGGTCTAAAACTGCTACAGGATATCTAATACCTGAAGGATTCTTATATCCATCTATTATATAAACCTTATGGAAATCTCCCATCTGGATTTAGAGATGTAAAATTTCCAGAAATTCTGAAACCATGAAAAAAACCCTTTCCTGGCTTTTTATGGGTGGGTGGGTAGGCTGCAAATTTGGGAAAAATTGAGAAACAAGCAATGCTTAGTAGTTTCTTTTAAGATCTTTACAGATCTAAATCACCTTATTGCATTAGGATAGGGCTTCCCCAGCTTGATGCCTTCTGGATATTTTGGATTTCAGTTCCCACCAGCCCCAAGCAGCATAGCCAGTGGTCAGCGAAGTCTGGTATTGTAGACCAAAACATTTGGAGAATTTCAGGTTGGAGAGAGATGCTTTGTTCCTGAAGTCATACTATATATAATTTGGTTTGCTCATAAAATTATATTTATTTTTTAAGTAAGCATAGTAAATTTAGTATACTGAAAATGAAACTTAATATACTTTAAAATGTAAACTGTACTCTGAAATTTAGGGTCCAGTCTTACAGCCTGCTGACATTATCTGGAAGGCATTATTGGGAGCCCCAGCTCTCCAAGGCTTTGTGACCTCTAGGCACAGAAAACCTGCCCTACCCTACCCCATAGCTGGTGCAGAAAGAGCTGAACCAACTGACTCTCTGAGATGGTAGCTCAGCCCTGGAAAGCAGCAAAAGGACTGTGCCATGAGTTGGGGAGAGGAGAAAGCTGGGACTGACAGTTTATTTCCTGTCCAGCGCTGCAGCCTCCTTCCCTCCCACTCAGTGATGCTTCATTTAGATGGTCCGGGATGTTTTGATGAAATGCAAGGTGTAAGGTGCAGCAGTGGTGAAGATTGCTGCCACTGCACCTCTCCCCATGCATTGGATGCAAGTAAGTCTCCAAGTTTGGAGTTTTAGATACAGCTAGGACTGAGGTTGCAGGATTGTGCCCTTAATGTCCCATGCATGGCCCATGCTCATAAAATTATGAGCAAACCAAGATATAAATATTTTCGGTTCCTAATGAATGTCTCACAAGAGGAAACATTTATAAAGTAATTCCTGAAACAGCATAAGCATCCTAGGGGCCAGAAGAAGCAGAATGAAGTAGAAGCAGAGGAACACTGTTGTACAGCATTTGTTCCTATTTGTAAGAAATTTTAGAGAAATTCTTCATCCTGTTACTCTTTGGAGCTAAGGAAAATTTGGAAGGAAAAGCTGCCAGTGTTTAATTTAGATAGGAAAGACTAAGCTTAAGAATGGGAAACAACCACATGTAATTTAAGAACCATTAAGCAATCTCAACCTGTTATTTGAAGAGTGACATTTTATTCACTTTTATAAAGACTTTCCATTAATGAACAACTTGGGTTTTTGGGGGTTAATTTCAACATGTTCAACATTTTGTGTTTAGTGGCAGTGTCAGTCCTATGCCTATCCCACAGGAACCAGGCTACTGAATTTCTTTTAGGTAGGGTTTATTCTAGAGGCAGAAGTCAAAGGGTTTTATAGGTGAGACAGCATTCCTTACTGGCAAACTCTGATTGAGAACTTCATTAAAAATGGAGGTAGCAAGTTGTGTAGACCCAAACCTCAAAGCTAATTTTACAAAAACAAAAAGGGAAATATAGATGGGGTAACTCACTGTTTTCATCACATCTGATAACAGTGGTGAGGCAAGCTGCAGTCTCTGTTTTGCATGTTTAAAGTTTAGCTTAGAGCTATATTAACACACTACTGTGATATCTAACTAGAACAAGTCTAAGTCCATAAATGTGACATCTTCTAGCTGTCAAGAACACACATTTGCATTAATTTGCTCACATGCTGGAAAACTGGGCATGATATGGAGCATCTCTAAATGTTTGTCAGTAATGGAGACATTAACTTCAATAAGGAATGGAAATGGGGGAAAAGCTATGTGGGGAGTCTTATGGAGAGTATAAAAATACTTTGTTTCATTATTTCCAGAAATCTTGAATCTTTCTATAAGGGTGTTCTTAGAAATAATTTTGGGGCAGATAAGTCTGGATAACAATATATAAACCACTTGTCTTCAATTGTAGAAGAAATCCAAAGCTTTCCCGTTTTCAGTGGAAAAAATGGTTGGACACAAAAATATGAAGAAACAGTTTACCTTGCCATTTTTTCTGTTTGCTTTTCTGGCCTTTCACATCTCTGTCCAGTTACTGGTCTATATTTGTTTAGCTTCAGCTACTGTGCATCATCCACTAGAGCGTACTTGAAAACTATGAAAACTTGGACTTGCGAACATTAGAGTAGTTATGGTATTGTGGACTAACAAAGCAGATAGATTAATATACTGAACACGAAAATGGGAAAAAGAAAAATAATTGGCCAGGAAAAAGCCTTAATAGCTCTAAAATCCCTCATATAAATAGCATCCCAGTACCTCTCCATAAAGTACCTCCTGCTTTTTAAGGAGTAAACAACATTAAAACTGAATGTCAGGCATTGAGTATGTTCTCATGTACTGTTTCTCTTTAATAATATAGACTTCTTGAGAACCCATGGGGTTTTATGCTCCTAGAAGCATAATCACTGTGCAGAAATGAATCCACTTGAACAAAAACTAGCTACATCTGTTTTGTAACTGTCAGTGCAGAACAGTAGAGATGCCTTAATTGTTGATTTGTCTTGAACTTAGGATGAAGTTAAGGAATTAATCAGCAGATTTTCAAAGATACTTGTACAGCCGTTGATACTCTGAATGTTTTTTCCCCTTTCCCTTCTTTTCTCCCTGTTTTTCTTAACAGGGATAGGATGATGCTGCTAAAGTTAGAACAAGAGATCCTGGAATTTATTAATGATAACAAGTAAGTAATGTGCCGGCTTGTAAGTAGTCAGACAGACATGTGAGGGCTGCCTCATAGAAGGTCTAGCTAGCAGCCCTGTACTCTCTTTCATAATTAGCTGTGATACTATAGGTCTTGAGAAGAACTATACAGTACAGAGAATGTACAACTGCCCATGTTTCTTCTTCCTCATCTATTCCCTGTTGTGGTATCCTACTTTATATTAAGATTACTGGACATTACTGGAAAAGTGGGAAGGAAAAGTGCTGCACTGCTACTTTGATGGCAGCTCCATATTCTCTGTATTATTTGGTTCTACTCTCACTTGGAAGCCCCTCCCTAAGTTCCTTGAAATCAGAATTCCAAGATTGAAACTGGGCTTTCATACATACCAGAAACATGCTTATTGCCAGTGAGGTACAGCTCTTTCCAAATGGTCCAGTGCATCTGTTGCAAGGAGATAAGTTACTTTATCATGCTTTGCTACCCACAACAAGCTTACTCATGCTTTAGTGGGGACAGAGTGCAAGCTTGCAGGTAGGGGATTGCCCACTTGCCTTTCCCACAAGATCTCTTACACATTCATTTACTTTAACTGCATGCAGATGTTTAAAAGCTGTACACAGCAGGAAGTAAGGATGATAGCCACTTGGATGCTGTTTACATTTGCACAGAGGCCTGCACAGTTTTAGATCAGCCTTCCCAGCCAACAGTGAGGAAAGATCCATACACATTGATTTTGTTAAGTGTGATGCATGAACTTCAGGCCCAAGAGTTGGTGCTGAGAACCATAGCTGAGTGGCAGAGCACATGTTTTGCATGCAAAGGTCCCAAGTTAGTTCCTGGCATCTCCAACCTAGCTAGCAGGTTGGGGTAGGTTTTTGCCAGCCTGAAACTTGAGAGAGCTGCTGTGACTCAAACAAATGGTGGGATAGATGGTCAGTGGTCTGCTCCAGCATCAAACAGCTTCACATATTTTATGTTGCGGAGTTTCATTCTTCTTGTATGTAGGATTTGAAAGTCTGAATAGTGTCTTTGTATTTTTGGAGACTGGGTGATCCATAGGCCTTGCATGTTCAATAACTGGTAAGACCAAAAGAACCAATAAGGTAGAAGAACTGTTTGACACAAAGGCTTTTTTGAACAAATGTGTAAACAGTTGGGGACATTTATTTATTATTTACTTTTAAATTTATATGCTTAAGTCCATAAGGATTGTGTGAAATATACTAAGCTTTAATTGAAAGCTAGAATCTGGTCCATGTTTTGGAAGACTTGTTTCCTCATTAGTCTAGATGTAGGGGTATATTGCTATGAAATTGGTCATCTGGTATCTGGAAAGTATCTCCATGACAGCTGAATGAAAGGATATTAGAGAAAGGACTTTCCATTTCAAATTAGTGTGAAGGGGATTCTGGTATGGTCACACTAAGAATGTCTTGGAGTCTATACTGACCTGCTCCTGTAGCTGTTTAGCAAACTGCAAGGCCAGGCTGAATTTCTCCTGAAGGAAGTTCCAGTTATGGCTAAGTGCAGACTTGTAGCCTACTTCCCGCTGTCTTTAGCAGGTGTCAATCTTCTGAAAGTCTGTATTATTTTTGGCAGTACTTAATATGTACCTTTAGTAGAGAAAGAACTGAAGATTATAGGTGAACTTGTGCTTGCTTGATGCTATGGAAAAAGGCAGCGATGTGAAAGGCAAAGATTTTTGCTGCATCCTTGGTGCCTAATTCTTTCTGTGGCATTTGTACACCTACAACAAAACATTGCCAAAGTATATTTTCTTCAGTTTCTAGTGTAGGGAAGAATGTAGTTGAATAATGAGGATTCATACACCAATGGAGATTTGCTACTTGCTACCATCTACATGTGATATTAAAAGGCACCAAATCTTGAAAAAAAATATTCAATTTAGCTTTTGTCTCCTAAAGTTGATAAGTGGTATTTTCTATGGTAAACTTATTCTATATCCTACCATGGTATAAATTGCAGATTTGTCCAAATTTTCAAGTCTCCAAAAGTTCTGCACAAGCATCCTTCAGTGTGCCAACTATTAAGTTTGTGTTATAGATCTGTAAGAATCTCCAGAAAAATGATTTAGGAATCTCACCAGTGAGGTGCATTGGACTAAATTGCTATCTGTAAGATTCATTTGATTCTAATCTGTGAGGGCTTATTGTTTTATCAAAATATCTCAGTGTTTCAACCCAAGACTCAACAATGAGGGGAGTCCAGAATTGTGCAGATCACTGCACATCCCCCCAAGAGGCTGAGCAACATATGCCAGTCTTACATTCTTCTGTCTTCTGATGATGTCTAAACACAGCCAGTGAATTTACACCATTCTGGGCTTTTCTGGTTCTTGAGTCTTGGGTTCTGAATGGTAAAAATAAAATGTTCCAGAGAAAATACGTTTGCTAAATAAATGTCTACTTTTAGTTTCAGGAGGTGCTGAAGATAGCATTCATACAAAAAGGTTGCTTAGATACTGCTTCTTTTCTCTGTGGTGTCCCTTCCATATATGTCCTATAGCAAAAGAACATTACTTTCCTAAAATTTATCATGCCCATTTGCAAACAATGAGAGAGTGTGCTGCACCTCACTGGTGGGTGCCCTTCTTTTAGATTCCCTGTGTAGCTAAGACTCGCATTCATTTCCGTAGACCCGTGGTTTGGGGCTGTGGCTTAAGAAATTGCAGTGCAGAATAAATCAGAGTATGCACTCTTCATTCTCTTTCATCATTTGCAGGAAATGGCTTATGTAAACGCAGGGTAGTCTCAACCTCCTCCTCCCCTTCAGAAAAGATTTAAACATGATTTATTCTGAGGATTAGGCTTTTGATTGAAAAGATCTAGTATATCATGACTTTGATTTTTTGTGTCTCATTCTCTGTTCTTTTCTTCCATCCCCTGCTCCTTTGATCTTTGCTGCTGTCAGCAATCAGTTCAAGAAGTTTCCCCAAATGACCTCATACCACAGAATGCTTTTACACCGGGTTGCCGCTTATTTTGGCATGGACCACAACGTAGACCAAACTGGGAAAGCCGTCATTATCAACAAGACCGGTAACACCAGAATGTAAGGCAAGAATGGGGTTTAGCCAGTCAGGGGTGAGGGAAAGGAACAATAATTTCAGTACTTAATAATTTACATGGCTCTTCAGACTGTTCAGAACTCTTCTATAAGTTATTTAAGTAATTCTTGCTGCAACTTTATATGAAGAGCAGGATTATCATCATCCATGTATTTCATATTCTGAATTAAACTAGAGAGAAAGCAGCCTGCCAAAGCTACCTTTTGAGTCCATGGCAGAAGTGAAACATGAATCATGGGCTTCTATAATCCTAACAGTTGAAAGGGGCTATTTAGGCCATCGCGTCCAACCCTTCTCAGTGTTGGAATCCAGTTTACAACATCTCTGCCAAAAGAGATCCACTTTGAGATCCATTGCTGGAGGTCTCCACTTTGAAGACCTCCAGCATTGGAGAGCCCACAGTTGCTCCATTGTCTGATTGTTCTTACTGTCAAGAGGTTTTCCCTAATATTTAGCTGAAATCTGCCTTCTAATAACTTAATCCCACTGCTTCTTGCTCTGCTTCTACCCTTTGCCATAGCCCTTTACCCTCTCCTCCAGTCCTTCAAACATGTGTTGCCCAGCTTCTGGGGCAGGAGTGGTGGTGAGAGGGAAGCATGAGCAACTGCTACCTGGTGGGTGGAGTTTGTGCCTGACTGGTGAGAGCCATGCAACCAACCCACTGTGGGTTTGTCACCTGGTTTCTTCTGTACCCTGCTATGGAGGAAGGGGGGCATTCAGTTTTCTTCCTGCCTTCTCCCCTCACCTTTTCATAGGATATTCTGGGGCCTTCCAAAACACCATTGAGAATATTGGCATCAATGCAGCCTTAGGTAATTTTTTTCAGTGATGGGGAGAAAGTGAAATTGGATGCAGGAGAGGCAGCATAATCTTCTTAAAACTGTTTTCCAGCTTAGTACCATGCATAAAAATCTCCTGCACACTCTTATAATGCCCCTGGGGAAGGCCAGTGTCATGATCCTTGTGGTAGGCAGCCTACAGCTCTGTCAAGGAGTGAAGTGGAGGGCACACATACTCAAGAACAAAGCCTCAGGGTAATCAAGCAACCTAGTAGTCAGGCATGTAAAATCAAGCATAGAGATGGGTGAGCTCCTTCCAGCTCACAGTGGACTAGTTCAGGAATGAGTCAAGTTATTCCTCCTCCTCTCCTCCTCCCATTGGGACATAGCTTAGTTAATTTTTGAACCAATTAACAGTTTTCCTTGGAAGCAGCACTTCAAGGCTGCACCTTCTGCAAAATAACAGACCGCTGCACACACATGTTAAATTGGGACTGGAGGGACAAAATATCTTTTTATGTGAGTGACTCTTGGGGCAAGGGACAGTTGAGTTTTGACCACCTAGAGCTATTTTACTAGGAGTACTCCTTTGAAGCAAGGCAGTGTTTTTACTGGTTTAATTTAAATCCAAATCAGAGAACAGTTTGGGACTTCTAATGTTGACTGGTTCTTTTAGGGGAAGAAAAACATTATTCAACCCCTGAAGCATGCTTCTTGGCCTGATCTGCGTTGCATAATTCTACCCAAGTAAAACAAAATTAACCTGCTTCAGTAAGTCATTGGACCATTATTGTGCAGTGCAGTGCAGTGCAGTACTGAGGTTTCCAGTTATGGGTCTTGTGTTTCCTTGGAGGCAGATTCGTTCATGCCAGAATATGTTTTGTGGGTAACTCAGCTTTTTAGCCATTTCCTTTTCTGTCCAGTTAATAGGGACCAAAAATGCATTCCCCTGCCACAGCAGTTCAGTCTCCTTGAGTTTTCACCACCCCACCTGATAAAAGATTGTTTGGATCTTCACAGCCCTGAACAGAGGTTCTCTGAGCACATCAAAGATGAGAAGAGCTCTGACTTTCCACAGAGATTTATCCTCAAGCGAGATGACACCAGCATTGATCGAGACGATAATCAGGTGAGAGACTGGAGTGTAACTGCATGCATGCTCTTTTGTGAGGAAGCGCAGTGGCAGTTTTCAGCCTTTTCTTTGCTTGGCTCTTTACCTACCTTGACTTTTAAGTGTGCTGTATTTTCTTTGCCTGATTTTTAGGTGCCACAAAATAATTTCTGCTGTAAACTTTCTGTGTCCTCTGTTTTGCCTTTCCTCAGTTCAGGCAGAGAATTGTATTTGTGCTTCACATATCAATGAAACACATGCTCCTTTCAAAACTATTTGTTTTACTTCTAATGAGGCTTTGAGCACATGCAGGGAATTCTGGTCCCTCCTGTATCACTTGATCCCATGAGAGATGACTGACCATTTACAAAATGTAAAAAGCTGTTCTGTGCCAAAGTCACTGTGGCAAGCACGGGGAAGAGGAAATATTTTTCACAAAGTTGCTCCTAATTAGCAGGCTTCTTGAGAGCAGTTATGCTCAGTATACATCACATTTGTGCATTGTAAGATCTATGTACTGCAGCCCACAAAATGCCTGACAGTCTCTCTGCCTTCCACTTTTACGACTTGTTGTTGCAAAAACAGGGTAAAATATATCAAATATATGATAGACCACATGCATCACAAGTCTCCTCTCAATACACACATACACCATGTAATCTCTGTGTTATGCGAACCCAGTGGAGGTTTGGATACAGATGCTGATAGAACAGCGGTTCTGTACTTTGCTCCTTCTACTTTCTCAAATATACAAAGGAAGAAAAGGAGTTTGCTGAGGTGTCCTACTAGTGTATAAGAAGCAATACACCATGGAATACTCTGGGAAATTCAGGGACTAGGAGGACTGTTTTCCATTTCAGTTGAATGTTTAGAAGCATCACATATTGCCTTAGATAAGCTCAAACTGTTGTTCAGCCAGCTCAGTGCTGTCTACTTGGTTTGGCAGTGGCTCTACAGGCTCCTGATCAGGCACAGAGGGGCCTTCCCATCCCCCCCGTGACCTGGTTCATTCACCTGGAGAGGTCACGGACTGATCCTGAGACCTGCTGCAGGCAAAGCACGTGCTCTGTTGCAAAGATATTGCACAGACATGCAGTCAGTGCAGATCTCACCTTGATCATTTGCCACTTCATTTATCATCACTAAAGGAAGTGAACAGGGCAGAAAATAGGGATCCACTTAACATGTCATCAAGATGGAACATGCAGCACAGAGTAGATAGAGCTTGGGGGTACCGTACTGTTTAAGTTATGGTCTTAGCCTTGGCCTTTGTTTGTGTAATTTGTCCTTTATAGACGGTCAACAAGTGAATGCATATGGAACAAGCCTTCCTCAACTGGTTGCCCTGCAGATGTTTGCGCTAAGACTCCCAGGATTAGAAATATAGAAACAGAGCAAGTCAGAAGGGCCTCCTGGGCCATCTAGTCTGACCTCCGGTACCAACCGGCTCCGCTCATGACATGCCCACCATGTGCATGTCCAGCCTATCTTTGAACACCCTCACCGATGGGGCCTCAGTGACCTCCCGTGGAAGCCCATTCCACACCCTCGGGGTCCTAACTGTCAGGAAGTGCTTCCTGGCATCTAAATGGAACCTTGGCTCCCTGATCTTTGCTCTGTTGGAGCACGTCCTGCCTTCCTCTGCAGGGGAGAACAGGTCTCTACCCATCTCCGTGTGACATCCCCTCACATACCTGTATGTCGCCAACATATCCCCTCTGAGTCTCCTCTTCTCCGGGCTGAAGAGACCCAGTTCCCTCAGTCTCGCCTCATCCCCCATCCCCTGCAAACCAGCCACCGACCTTGTGGCCATATGTTACACTGACTCTAACCTGGCTACATCCTTTCTGTAATGAAGGGCCCAAAACTGAGCACAATACTCCAGCTGTGGGCATACCAGAGTCGTATAGAGTGGTAGTAATACCTCTCTTGATCTAGAAGCCACACTTCTGGCTATGCAACCAAGGGTGGTATTCGCCCTCTTGACCGCCGCATCACACTGCTGACTCATGTTTAGCCTGCAGTCAACCAGCAGCCCGAGGTCCCTTTCACAAGTGCTGCTCTCCAGCCACTTGTCCCCTAACCTGTACTTACGACACCTATTCCTATGCCCCAAGTGCAAGACCTTGCACTTATCCACATTGAACGCCATCCTGTTGTCTCCTGCCCACTTCCATAGTCAAGATTCCTTGCTATTGTCTTATACTGACTGGGCTAATGGAAGTTTAAGCCCAAAACCTCAGGAAGGCATTAGGATAAGGAAGACTGGTGTAGAGTTGTTAGTTGCTTTCATTGAATTAATCAAAATTGACTTGATTACTACTTGGTAAGGGCCAAAGTTTGAGGCTGTTTTGGTGCTGGTGATCTACTGTAATAAGCAGTGGAGAATATATTACAATTGGTCTTCCCATCTAACAGGAAGAGAACCCTAGGTGTCCGAATGGAAACACGTGGGATTCTAACCCTGCATTTTCCTTGTAACTCCAGTACTGATGATGTTATTACTTTCTGTGATGTTATGCCTGCCTGCTGTGTGGATTGCATGTTTCAGAACAGTGGGAAATAATTGGTATCCAGTAGATGCGATGTTTAAAAGTGAAATAATTCCTATTCCTGTTCTTCAGCAGCAGTGACATTGTGCATGGTGTTTCCTGAATTAAATGCTTACAAAAGCTAGGGTGAGGTTTTAAATCCAGAAAGAAGTGCACCATGTTGTGTAGGTGTTACACCCCGGCGTGCTTACAATGTGCATAAATCAATTCCTCACTGCATACCTTTGCCTTGCTACTGTGATCCGTGCCTGGCGAGGTCTTAATAATGCTAAGTTCTGGTTGTCCATCTAGATCAGAATCCCGCTGCAGGATGGACGGAGGAGCAAATCCATAGAGGAGCGAGAAGAAGAGTATCAAAGGGTCAGAGAACGCATATTTGCACGAGAGGTGAGCATGGATACTTAAAAATTAATTCTGTTCCTACCTGGCATCTATGGTGTCCCATCCAGGTTGCTGAATATACCGAGGTCTGTTTAGCATTAGCAGTATTAAACCACTGAACCTTTAGGTGTTTCCAGATCACTCACTAGGACATGTCCTTGTATACACTTGTGAGTTACCATGAAATGTGTTTGGATTTTAAAGGCTACTTCTACCCCCATCCAGTCAGTGAAAATAGGTTTAAGAATCCAAGACTTTCTTGCCTTCTAATTTTGATTTATTTTAGATTTATATCCTGCCTTTTTCCTACAAAGGGCTCAAGCCAGCTTACATCATTCTCCTCCTCCATCCTATCCCCACAACAACCTGTGAGGTAGGTTGGGCTGAGAGTCTGTGACTGGCCCAAAGTCACCCATTTGGCTCCATGGCTGAGTCCTAGTCCCATGGTCTTAACCACTACACCACACTGGCTCTAATTTGAACTGTGGGTATTACTAGCCTGCTGAATAGAAGTCTGAAGCCCAGAAGATGTTCAACAGTCTATTTATTCATGCTTAAGCAATTTTGCGCTCAGTTAACATCTGAACTTCTAATTGATTTAAAGAAACAGATTCTTTTAAATGGTGAACATCCATGGTGGTTGGGCAAGAAGGAGGGAATTCATTTCAGACAATCTAGACTGAATAGATATCACTTAACTCACAGGATAATGAAGGGTGGGCTGGGGAATTTGAAGAATTTTCTGTTATATGGGAAGGATTGAGCCACAAGCAGATTGCACATATACAGTCAGGAAGGCTTGGCTGCTGCACTGAGATTTAGACCTCAGAAATCTGGACCTGGTTAAATTAGTTGACAAAAATTAGAAAAATCCAGTCATTTTTCCCCATTTTTCCCCTCTACAAGTTTTACACAGTTGTGCTCTTAAGCTTAAGATGGTCTCTACGTCACTTATGTAGTGCTGACACCATAGCAACTAAGCCAAGGGCAATCAAAATAGGTACCAGTCTTCTGCCAATCCTGGCTTATATTGACATCAGAGCAGGAAAGCCAATGGCCTTGCAGGGAAGTCCAGGCCAACAGGGGAGAGCAAGGGGAAAAGCAATAGGGATGAGGGAAGAACTGTTCAGACCAGGTATGTTAGACCAGGTATGGCTTTCCCCCAACTTTTAGGGAGAATCAGATGTCTCCCTTTTCTCTTGTAAGCAAGGATATCTTGAACTATGCTGCGTACCAAATTTCTTCACCTGCTTGAATGTATGGAATTTAACTCTTTTGGGGTACACTTTTGCCCTGTTTTGACTGATACATAAAAATATCCAGTGTCCAAAGTTCCTTAGAGAAACCAGTGCCTTGGTCTGCCTTTATATCAAATTGCAGATCTCCAGGTGATGTGAGGCCCAGTGAGCATACTTTCTTTCCATTCTGCAGTTGTCTGGCCATAGGAGGATTTTAGCAGATGCTGGATGCCTACTTCTAGGATCTTCAGATGCCCTTTTTGGTTAGGCTGAGAGAAATATTGTCTTACAAAATTTCTTCTTTTTGTTTCTGTTTCAAATCCTGTGGTTCTGTTTGCCGATAGTCGGGCCAGAATGGATTCCTGAATGACAGCAGGTTAGTACAGCTCATGCATGCTCCCTTCTATTCTTCAGTGTTTCTTAAGGGGGAGAATCTGTAACTGCATAACAATGCTTTTCTTTGATGTTAACCAACAGACTCTCCAAAGAAGGCTTTTCTTCTAGCTCTCACAAAAGGCGGCAGATCTTTAGGTACTTCTGTGTGATTTCTTGCATACATTTGTCTTGCGGAGCGAATTTGCACCATGCATGGCTGCTTGTGGAGTCCTTCAAGTTGTCATATCTTTTGCAACATCACTTTGTGTTATTTTCCCCTTCCACAATAAAATGAAAGCTAAACTCTTGCTTACTCAAGGATTTGACTTTATTGTTGTGGTGTCCAATAAATTCCACAATTTCAATGCAGGTAATTCCAGTCAGCATGTTGAGGATTGCAGAGTTACGGAGGCTTGGGCGAGGGGGCAAGAATCAGAAGCAAGACCTGAGGAATTTTCAGTTTGAATACAGCTGCCTCCATTCTTTTGAAGTGTCAGGAAAATACACTTTTTGTTCTCATGAAATAATAAAACTTTCTTTAACCTCTTGTGATGAGGTAGGTGTCAATAATATGGACTGTGCAAACTTTACACACATACACAGATCTTAAAAATGAATTTTGTAGGAGTAAAGAGAGGCAGTGAGCTATTGTACATGAAGCAGAGTGGTTTAGATGTCATTTTGAAAATAGGAGCTCAGTAGGGAGAAGTCTAACCCCACTACCAGTGCTGCAGACAGTGGCTTTTCAGTGGGGTAGGCACTTAAAAGGCATGAAAATTACTCCCTTGATTCCAAAGGGCAGACCAAAGTCTTTGAAAATAGTCTGCTTCTGTTGAACTGGAGGCCAGCTTATTTTCCTTACTCTGGAAAGGGATAAATCCCCCAAGACTGGAATTTAGGGTCAGAGTGGAGCTCTGGATATTATTTCAATTAATTTATATCCTGCTGTGTTTCCTCTTGTGAGGAACCTATGGTGTTTTATATAGCTCTCCATTCCATTTTATCCTCACAACAACAGCCCTGTAATGTAGGCTAGGTTGAAAAGTAGTGACTGGCCCAAAGTCTCATTTAGGACCATTAGCTGCAGTTTTATAAATCAAGTAAAAAATAAAAATAAATAGTGAATAGTGGATCCTGGATCTCCTGAATCCCAGTCCAAAGAGCTCTTTTTTATTGCTTTGCTTATTGATTGATTAACAACATTTGTATGCTGTGGGGTTTAACATCAAGAAGCATAAAAACAATGTAAATATACAATAAGGCATGCAATCGTAGAATCTGAACCAAATAAGTACAACAAATACCAAATTGGCAGTGAGCTCAAAGTTGAAGCATTTTTTAAAATGGAGTGGCCCAGACTACTTTTCATTTAAAAGGTCTGATTTATTTATTTAAAGCTTTTATGTGCCATCCTTCACTAAGTGCCTGTATTTAATAAAAAGGTCTTAATCCAGCACTAAAAACATGTCTCTGGGTATACCTCTCTGGTTCATTCTGTAACTGGGATGCCAGAATAAAACGTCACTTGGCCTGGTGGCCACCCAACTGACTTCATTTGAAAGAGACTGTTGGAGCAAGGCCTCTGGTTTACTTCTTTAGGCTTGGGTAGGTATACATGGAAGAATGCAGTCTTTCAGGTAGCCTCATCCAAAGCCTTTTAGGGCTTCTGAGGTTCAAACCTGCATTTTAAATGGGGCCCAGAAATGGACTGGGAGCCCTTGTACCTGGCAAAGCATAGGCATAATCTGATCAAACACAGTTCTGGTCAGTAATCATGTAGTCCTTTTGCAATAATACAAAAGGACTTATCCGCACATAGGTAACGGTGGCCAGACTATCTCCCATCTAGTTAAAAGTTACAGCTGGCATATCAGTCAAAACTGACAGAAGGCACTTAGAGTGACAGTGGTTACTTGAGATTCTGATGACAATACTGCATCAATAAGCACCTCCAGATTCTTTAGGCTAGAGGTGAATAAATTCCAGAGGCCCTCACTGAGGGACACACCCCATCTCTGCCAAAATTGCTATGGTGATGACAGAAAAAGTGGTGATTTTAGCAAGGACACAAGGCATGCAGAGAATGTGCACCTTATTTGCAAGTGGAATCTCCCTTCAGGGAAGACTGCTTTACTTGCAAATGAAGCTTGTGCTTTCTGCACACCCCTGCAGAATCAACTTGTTTTGGTTGCCACCGCTGCAGTAGCAAATCTGGCAGTGGGAGCAAGGTGATGCCAAATGTCCATAGGGGTCTGCATGTGACACTCGAGCCACATGTTCTTCACTCCTGTTTTAGGAGAGAGAGCAACCCTATTAGGCGGAACACCTTGCACGCAGGTGGAAAAAACTGTGGACATTATCTTATCCCATCTTCTTTAGGATAGCTATAGACTCACTGGAATCTGATGAAAATTGGAGATAAAGCTAGTTGACACCTACGCATCAATGCTGCCTCTGACCAAATCTCTGCCTGACCTCTCCCAGCTGCTTTAAATAGACATGAGAGAAAGAACAAAATTCTAAAGCATGAGTGCCAGGGGATTGGGCAATAGTCCTCCAATGCTTCTCTCTGGAAACAGTTATCCAAACAGGAGCAGACCTGCCAAGTGATGCCTTCCATATCCCTACTGCTACATCTTTCTTCCCCTATATTACTCCCCTCCACCCCACTGCCCTGACTTAACCATTGTCAATGCTATTGTCAACGAGATAAGAAAGCCTCACATTTCTATGGATAGTGCAGGGTAACTTCACTGAGGAAAAGTCTGCACAGTGTGGTGGTGTTGCTCCTCAGAAAGGCACTTCAGTCACAGAACATGGCATTCATGTAGTTCCTGAACAGCACACCATACCTGTCAGGGCTGGCCTAGGACTTCTGTCCTCTTGTGTAGCACCTGCTCACTTTAGTAGGGCTTAATAAAAGGAAGTGCTGTGGGTCATAGCTCTCTCCCACTCTGTTGTCTTTCCAATAGCTCCCATCAACCTCTGTCACCTGATGTGGTTGTCTTGCTTTGCCTCATGGTAGGGCTGCCTCTGGTGTTTAAGAAAATTGTGCTAATAAATTAGAGTTCTTTGCTAAATTAGTTCTTGCGGAAAGCAAGAGGCCTGTATGGATGAGGAGTTCATCTGCAGGCATGATGACTCTGCTTCAAGTGTTAGAAAGTAATTAAGAACTTAGGCTCCAGGGGACATTGATCAAAATTTAGCTCAGTGATGAAAAATGTAAAAGCATCCCCCTCTTAAAATTTCTAGTTTGTGTCCACATTGGCTTATGTGCCTTCACATAAGTGTGAGCTGGAATTGGTTAGAAAGCAAATTGTGTGAGAGTCTGACCCCTGTGGATCAGGCTTAAAGGGTAGTGCCCCCAGACAACTTCAGCTGGGCAAGCCTCCTTAAGAGAATAGCCATTGTTTAAGGTTGATATTTGTCAACATTGATTCCAGTGGGACTTGGATAAAAGGTGCACCTGGTATAGTTTTTCTCAAGAGTGTTAGATGTTTGCATATATAGCACTCTGCTTAGCCAGTTTCACCAACATGAAATTCATTGTCAAGTCATCTTCTCATTTAGCCTCTTGAGTAAAGAGGAAGATACAGAAGCAGTAGTGGCCTGAAATTGTTCATAGATTTCCCCTCCAGATTATGTTTATTGACTCCTCCATATATATTTTTTTCATTTTTAGAAAGGTCATTAGCAATGGAGGGCATTTAAAAAAATTCCCAAGAATTTTCTTACCAACCTTGATAAGCCCTTGGGTGCAGTCTTCATATTTTAGAGCTGCTAGTAATGCAGTGCTGCTCTGGCGAAGGAGGCACTTGCGCATCCCAATACTCCCCAAAGAAAGCCACCTCCTCACTGTTGTCACCAGGGATAACATAGTGACTCTTTCCTTTGCCACTTTAGGGTTAAGCCTTGCCTCCCTGCTTTTAAGAAAAGGCTCTTTCAACTGTTTAAAACCTTAAGTAGGACATTATTACATCTAAAAAGCCAAAATTACCCCTTTTAAGTTTTCTGTAAGAAGTTATCCTCAAAAGAGAACTGCAAGTAGGAAGCAGAGACTCATTTTGCTTTCTCTTAGAACTGAAGCACAGCCTCTGAAGTTTTGTTGTCTCCAGATCTGGCCAAGGCTCTTTTGCCCAAATTTGGAACCAAGCTGCCTGGCAGTTAGCTGCAGACACATTGAAGTATCTCGCCTCATTGACTGGAGCCTATTTTTATGCTAGTTTACCAGTGTAATATGAAGCTTTTTTGAACTTGCACAATTCAGTGAGATCTTGATATGTAAGAAGTCAGAACATTCAGCAACTAGGAGAACTCATCCTGCTGCTGATCACCTGGGATGGTAAGATACATACCTAGGAAAAGAAGAGAGAAAGCTTCTGAATATACATTAATATTAAGCCCAGTACATTTCAAATATAAATCCTCTTTCAGGAGTACTCTAAGGCACATCCAGCTTGAATGTTCAGTCTCCAGAATTGTAGAAAGATTATTTTTGCCAGCTGGGTTAGAGATCAAAGACTGCTGTTGATGATACCTCAGAATGCCCCTGCGAGAAGCTTACGTTTGAAATGTACTGAGCTTCATAAACACACTTTTGAGGGGGATCTGGAGTCTTCCTTCCTTGCACTGCACTTGGTGCCTTCTGACCATCCTGTTAATCCAGCCAACATACTTATTGAGGCCACGCCACTAATGTTCATTGAATCATGTGCGTCAGTCTTTGGTTTTTCAGAGTATTAAGCTTCTAGTCTCCATGGTTGTGTAGATGAGGTTGATTTCAAAGGCCTCATGATGCAGAAAAAACATTCGCCACGTGTATTCTGTGTTCAGACTTTGCGATTTCTAAGTTCATCTCTGAATGATGCTAGCAGCATCAAAGTTCATGGTGGCACCAGCTGCCTGGAACATTCATTTGGTAAGATGAAAATCACCTACCACACATGTCTTAACATTACAGAAGCCATGCTAAGAGTATGGGCCTTTTGGTCCACCATCACTTAATTCTGAAGTGATTTTCATGGAGGTCTTTTGCTGAACTAGATTCTTAAAGGTCTAGCTGTCTCTTACCACAAATAACCCTTTCCACTCTGTCTACCTGCAACTCTGTATGCTTCTACACTTTCATCTATCAAATCCTGCTGAAATTCAGAAGCAAAGGGGATTTTTGCACCTTTCTGTGCAAGCCATACTTCCTGGGTTTGACATTTTCTTATTTCTGAATTCAGCCCAAGTGGGTCTCGTAGAGTCACTGCTGGTATGAAATGCCACCTCCTTGTGGGAGACTATCAATTAGGCTACAATGTTTTGTGAAATTTTGGTAGCCTGTTTTCTTTTCATCTCATGATGAGGGTACAAATTCCACATCCTGAGCCATAAGAGATTTTGAAGGTAAAACATGCAGAGAACAGGATAGACACATTGCTTTGGAGAACTACTGAAGAATTATGCAACACAGAAGGCCCCCCTGTTGCAGCAGGCCTGCTTAAATGGTTGATCTATCCTGGGCAGATTAGAGAGGTAGTTCATCTCTTGTCAGATCAGCAAAGGATACCTAGACCTTGATGACAGGACATTTTTGCATTCATTTCTTTTCCTGCCAGGATGCCCTTGATCTGCACCTCTGCAGAACAGTTTACATTTAGAATTCTGTTTCTCAGTAGTCACTGAGCATCTATAATGGTGGTCATTCTACATATAAAGCAAACTGTATTTCCTGGAGCAGGCTGTAACACTCTTCTGCCTTCACATTGGTGCATTTGAGGGCCAGCAGCACTTGCTTACTCCCCAGAGTTGGCTCTTCTCAGTGTAGCTACTTGTGCTTGTTTGTCTGTTCTCCTAACACCAAACAGTACATTGCTGCCTTGAATGCTTAGCCATGCTGTGTCTTTCTAGCCCCTGGTGGCATTAACCACTGTGATCTTTGATGCAGAGGTAACCGGGATGGGCTCAGCCGGACTTCGGGCAGCCGACAGAGCAGCACGGAGAGTGAGATGAAGTCATTGGAGCCGCGGCCGTGGAGCAGCACAGACTCGGATGGTTCAGTCCGCAATCTGAGGCCTCCTGTCACAAAAGCTAGCAGCTTCAGTGGCATTTCCATCTTGACACGAGGAGACAGCATTGGTGGCATTGGCAAAGGAAGCGGTGCCAACAGGACTGTCAGGCCAGGTACCGCTTCTCTTTTTACTGCCCTCATTCAAGTAAATTGAGAGGAATTCCAAGGGCAATGGTGAGTCTGCTTTGAGGCAATCCTGGATTAAAACTGCTCCTTTACTAATAAAGAATCGGAAATTGCTTTCTGTGTCGCCAGAGAAATGCCTTATGAGCCTCAATACATGCCTTACTACATCTATCTAAATAAGAAGCAAAGACCAGAAGCCAATCTGAATGGGGGAATTACCACCAGTGAGTTAATGAATAAGCCATGTAGATGCTAGGAGACTTGGTAGCAATGAAGCCTTGGTAGCAGCACTAGCAGAAATGTGGTAGCAACACTGTCCTGCAAAACTGGCCTCAGTCTAGAAATGATCTAGACATCCCACAAAATGTCCAGGTCCTGGATGCGTACTAACTCTGCCCAGTGGGTGCAGTCATCTGCCACATGGGCCTCATGGCAAACTACCCGTTGAAACTGACCAGATTAGAAGTCACCTAATCTTAATGAAACTTCATTCACAGGCTATCTGTGGTGGTTCCACAATTCCTCTTTTCTAGCCATTATCCCTGCTTTGTTGAGGAGCTATGAAAAGGTTGCATAGCCCATCATCCTATAAATTATTCTACTATAGCATACATTGCAGATATACTTAAAACATTTGTATAAGCAAAGATGCAAGAGACAAAGCCAATAAACTAGAGTTCTGATTTTCTCAACACATTTCAGCTGGCTTCATCAGGAGGAATTTAATCAGGAACAACACACAGAACTGCATCTTTCTGAGGGGGGTCAGGTCTTGAAACATGACTGTATCCATGTCTGGGGAGACAGCTAGTGAGATATTAGAAGTCAACTGATGAGTTAACTGCTTTGATGAAGGTAGCCAACAACATCTTGGGGTTTTATGAAATTATACTTGCACTTTCTTGGCCTTACTTCCTCACTGTTTTCAAAAAGTTCCTAAGTTTGAGAATGTAAGATATAACACCCAGGACCTCTAATTTTCTCTTTCAGCCTCTAAGCATCTCATGTAGCATGCTTCTGAAAGCAGGTGCCCCATAAGTTCCCCAAAGTGCTGCTGTTAAATTTAGCATGTAGGCAACACTCAGCTTGATCTATGCACCTTCAATTTAATTCATTTAATGAATTTCTGCTGTCTCTGCTACCGAGCTGACTCCCTAAGTGGCAGTTTTCTCTCTCCAGCAGTTGATGCTGCTGTTGCTTCTTCCTTCTCACTTAACCCCATTTTTCTTGAATTACCTACAAGCAGATGAATTAAAAAAGAATAAACTGGTGTCAAGATACTCAGGGGGGGAACCTTTATTCTTTGAAAATCCAGTTCTATTTTTCCAACCCCTTGAGACAGCTTTTCTCTTTTTCAATCCTTTTTGACGGCTTTCCATTTTGCTCACACTTTTTCTACAAGCAGCCCAAACCAATGCTACTTCTATATTGGGTGCCAAATTAGTCCATAGAAATCAGTGAGAGGAAAAAGTCCATTGGCTCAAGTGAACTGTAGAATGAACCTGCCATCCCAGCATGGACCTTGTTCAGGATAACTAGACTACCTCTGGAATAAAAGAGAGTTTATAGTAGGCATTCACCATCAAGCAGCCTGGAGTTGCTTTCTTGTGGGCTTTAGTCCTATGAGTGAATTCAAATGGCAAGTTTATACAGATAATTTGTGTAAGGGAAAAAGATGTACAAATCATGTTAGTTTATCACATGCAGGTGTATTACAAGTATGTTGCTGTGCACATGTGCTGGGAAGCCCTGGCTACACATGGATTTGCAATACATGTTAAGTGCAATGAAATTGTAGATTTGCAAGGCCTAGGCATATAGCAAAACAGATGCTTTTCGTGTTGTCAAATTTGGAAGCATCCCCTCCATGTACTTCTAAGTGCCCTGCTTTTTGCATGGCTGTGTGTTATGCTTGCAGCAGCCCATGTGCAGGAAGGCAGCAACATGCATCAAGCCATGCTACAAGTCTACTCAGTGCTGGTGAATGCTGACTGAACTTACAGCAGCCACACTGGCCCATTGCATCCTGTTTTTCACCTGAGCAATGCCCTGCACAAGCAGCTTGCGATAGTCTTGGGTTCTTTGCCCTCAACATTAAGAATGACTGCCAAGGCAGTAATTGCAACAGAGGCTCTGCATAATTCCCCTGGATAGATAAGGAATTCAATCTGCAACCTCATTCTGAGGTTCTTTTAGTTCACAATTCAGTAGTAGCTATAGATTGCTCCCATCTAGAGGCAGCCCATAGGAGTGTAAGTCATGAGAATTGCCAAGCTTCCATATAGGCAGACTAGAATGGCTGTGGATCCTGGAAAGTTATTGAGAGATTCAGCCATCTTTCTCCTAAGACTGTAAGCGGGGAGGGATAATTTGCTTGCAAAACAAGTATTTCTTCACACTCATAATGGGGAAAACTATGCAAGAAGTCTACTGGAAATGAACAAATTAGTTACTGTTTCATGGGAGGCAGCTGGCCCGTGGCATGTTGAAGGATCAGCCAATGGAAGAGGTAGAGGGGAATGTAGTGGACATGCCATAGTTGGGCGGCAGAGCATGTATTTTCATGAAGAAGGTCCCAGGCTGAGAGCCTGGTATTGCTAGTTCATGTTGGGAACACTCCTGACTAGAAACCTGGAGTGCTACTGCCACTTAGTGTAGGCTGTGCTGAGCTAGATGGAACAGTGGGCTGGCCCAGTATAAGCTGTGGCTCTGAGTCCTTGGTGGCTAATAATGGGGATCACTCTCTTGGAAAAATTACCATAAAATGGTGGGAGCTCACAGTCGAGCTGTTGCATTCCCCTCTCTATCCCAAATTTTTGTTCTTTGTGATTCATATTAGGTGTGTTAAAACGTGACAGGGCTGGAAAAGCATTGTACAGGCAGTCCTGGGTTTATGAATGAGTTCCATTCCTGAGAAAATGGAAAACTGCCTTTAAGTTGAATTTGTATGTAAGTCGGATCACATATAGTTGGCTCTCCACATTAGCACAGGTTAGGGGTGCAGGGCATACATGAAAGTGGAAAAACCATGAATATCTTTAGAGCACCCTCCTGCCGAAACTCAGCAGTGCCTCTTTTTTGCAGCAAGAAAATGCCAGAGGGGCAGAAAAGCATGCTTTGGAGGCTTCCCTCGCTCCCCTTTCACTTCATCTCTTCCTCTATGGTAATGACCATTTCCTGCAGTATTTTTTTAAATTAACAGGCTTTATGGCAGCCATCACCAGTGCCACAGTCCTAATAGTGATTTGGTAGGACCAGTTCATTATCTCTCCATCTGCTTTTAAAATTTCTTGAATATATCTTTAATTAATCAACTCCCCCACCCCACCCCTTGGCAAAGAATTCTGTGCCAAGATCAATCTATGTGTATATTAAATTTGGCAAACATGCACTTCCTAGAGTTTGGTTTTTTGAATAATTTGGGGGTTGTTTTATTTTTTGCTAAGGGAGTAGAAAGAGAGAAAGACATAGAAGGGCTGAAGTCTTTCCACTAGGACAACCCTTTCTCACGACCTTGGCACTACAGCAGCTTCTCTAACTACTGTGAAATGTTGCTCCATCCCTCTCTGGCTTCTGATATGTTATCAGGCATTGCTGGTACCTTTAATCAGCCATATGACCTAGAGTAGGGGTGGGCAGAAAGTAGATGATCTGACATTTGAGAGTTAAATTAAAAATTTCTGAAGATCTCCTTCCTTCCCCCACTTGGTCTAGAGCAAGAATTTTGAACTAAACCCCCATCAACCCCAGCCAGCTGGGCCAGTAGAGAAGGATTATAGAGCTTAATTCTAAAACATCTTCAAGGCACCAGATTGTAAAAAGCTGGTCTAGAGTCAGTTCTGAAGGGTTGAGGGAGAGTGCACTCATGCACACATATTCTCAGGATGCCGAATTTAACATCAGCTATCAGATTTTCTGCACACATGGTGCTCTTGTGTCTCCTTATGCATTTTATATACAATTATAAATACAGTTATTATAAAATTATAATGCATAATTATACAGTCTCTTTGCTTTGTCATGTCAGAGTGGAATTGCAGTTTCCAGAGCCTCTTCCATTACTCTGCAGTGTTGCCTAGCCTTCTTTTTGTGTGCAAGGGAGGAGGATGCTTTTATAGATATACTAATTCTTCTTCTTGAGCTCATAAACAGGGATGTGTCAATAAAGGGGGTGGTAAACTGCAGCATCATGTCTACTCACTCACTTCTGCTTCCTACAGCAGTGAGGATGACTCATATGCTGCCATCCATGTATTCAGCCTGTTTATGATCTTCCTCCAGCTGAACTTCAAGGGCAGACACTCAGATGTCTTTGTTTATATCTCCTCCCTTTATTTCCTTCTCAGTAGTTGATTGTGAGCATGCCCTCCCACCCACCTCCTCTTTGTTTAAAGCAGGGGTCTCAAACTCAACTTACCTGGGGGCCGCTGGAAGTAGAGTCTGGGTGAGGCTGGGCCGCATCAAGTATCCCACCACCGCGGGGGTGGTGGGCCGCTCATCTGGAGGCCGGTCCGGGCACCGCCAGTGCTTTGAAGGCCGCAGGGCCCCTCCCCCATGCCCCACCCATCCCGGCAATTGGCCCGCGGGCCGCAAGTTTGAGACTCCTGGTTTAAAGTCTTTTAAGCTTAAAGTCCTGGACTTTCACGGATTCTCATGTGCTTAAAAAGCTGATGGTGTTGCACAAATATGTTAATGTTTCCTTCTTTGTTACTGCCCCTCACAACAATACCTGTGTATGGAGGTTTTCTTTGGCTTCTAGAGAAATATGATATGATATGATATGATATGATATGATATTGTAATGCAAGTTGTTACAAACACCAAGAAACTGCAGTGTGGTAGCCAAGATCAGAAACCATGAGCTGGGAATCTGCAAGCACTTGATGAGTTTCTATGGAATGACCAAGTATGAGTTAATTAATTAATGCATGGTTGGTTTTTCCTTTGCAACCCCTACCAACCATAGCTTAATTAACCCACTGGGGCTGCATGGGAGTGAGCATGTGAGCATGCAGGCAAGCTGCCTTTTTCGTGTCTACTTCTTTGCCTCAGATTTAGAAAGCAATCCAGGAGTACAATGTTCCTAGGTTGTTTGGAATGTTAGGTGTGAACCTGGATCTCTGGGCTGTCGAGAGGGAAGAACAACCTTCCGTCAGTGTGTTGTTAGATTAAAATTCTGGGTTGTTTCCCCCTTAAAAACCTAGAGTTTGAGGTTCACATATCATGCAAAACCATCCAGGAATTGGGCATTCAGGGGTTGTTTTATAAAACAACTGCAAATGAAACAGAGGCAGGAGAAAGGCAGCATGCTTGCACTGCAGCTCCAGTAACACATGCGTTGTCATTCTATGTTGTTGTTGTTGTATTGCATTCGTATTCCACCATTTTTTCTCTTGTGAGGACTCCAAGGCAGCTTACATAGCTCCATTTTATCCTTACAGTAACAGCCCTCTGAGGGGTGTTGGGCTGCAAGTCTGTGACTGGCCTGGAGTCACCCAGTGAGTTTCATAGCCAAGCAGCGACTAGAACGTGCATCTCCTGGGTTCCCAGTACAACACTCTAAACACCATACCACTGCAGTTCTACTGCAGACTGGGTCAATATTTTTTCCCTCACAAAAAGTCCTACTTAAGTACAAAGTATTACTAAGCTATTATATAATTGAATGCATTGAATTTTGGGAATTCTTATCACACAGCTTGAATTTCTTTTGGTACAGGATTTAGTCTGGGCAGTAGCATAGTGTAATAGAATAAAGCATGTACAATGAGACCTACTTCCTTGCCTAGGAACTGAATGAGTGCATTATTAGGAAAGAAATATTCTACAGCTGGCTATGAATATTCATCTGTTTACATTTTCAGGTCAAAGTGGATTTTGAGGGGTTAAAATTCTACTTCCAGGCCTTAATTATTGATAATGTTCACTTCTGTTTTGATACTGAGAAAAAGATATTGATGATATACAAGCATGCTTGTGTACTTTGTTGCTTGAACTGAAATCTTCTTTTCAAGTCACACAGGTTAATGACTTGGGAATAGACATTCTGTGACTGCACCATGTATGGCTAGCTTTGTTGAATGAGCTGAAGTAGGATCAGTTACTCAAGTCAAGCTTTGTCTTTTAAAAGCTGACTGCCATCAACCAAATGAGTTACAGACCAGTCCTAAGGCTTTGTGCTCCATCCCTGGAGCACATTCAAACTTTAAAAAAAAAATTGCCCTGGATTTAAGGAGTTCAGGATGGTGTAGCTGGTGTCTCTCCCTTCCAGCCCTGTTCTGCTCTTGCAAATATGAGGTAAGGCTGATGGGAGAGCGATCAGTCACCTAGTAGGGCTCATGGGTGACTTGGATGTTCTTCTTCCGAGGTATGCTTCCACATGTGACAGACCTGACCTGACCTGACCTCTGACCACGTGCTGATGCAGTATCCCCCACTGGCATTTCTGCTAATTAGGCCTTGCTTCCCCCTCAGTAATTTAGAGACCAGCTCCTGTATCAGTCATATGCTAGTAAAGAAAGGTTAGGCTTCCCAGGGTGGGACAGATTTAGCTGTATTACCTATTGTTAGCATCCTGCTTCGGCATCCTGGTTCCTACTTCTGCTGCAAAATCCACTCTGCAATATCTGTTTTTCCCCTGGAACACTGTCTGTTGAAGGGCTGGCAGTTTGAGACATAAGGCATTTCGATTGGAGGATGCCAACGTCTCCTTCATAGGTTAAGCTATATGAAATGTGAGACCCAAAACTACATATCTGGTACTTGGAGAAAACAGTAAAGTAGTGGTAGGGGTTTCCATATAATTCATGAACAGTGTCTCTTGCAGTTTGTTTCATTTTAATTGTATTTGTGTTGTTCCTCATCATGCATCTCATCTGTTGTTGGTTCTTCTGTGCCTTTTTTTCTCTTTTGCATGCCTGTCATATGCATGTGCATAGAACAAAAACATAGAACAAGATAAATGGTTAACTAATATAAATATTTTATATGTGAAGGCATGCAGCACCTTGCCATAATGGGTAAGAAAATTTGTTTGCTTCTTCTGGAGGTAGATGGAAAGGGACAGTGTTACTTGGGATAGATATGAGATGATTAAGGCCTTTTCATTCACACATTCATTGTCACATTATTCATGTATTGTACATTTGAAAAAGTAACTTGTGGACTATATAACACATAGTGTACATGCCATAAGGATACTCCCTGCACCATGTACTCATATACAAAAAACTTACCCATTGAAATCATCTCAGTGTCATGCATGAAGCAGTCCTTAGTTGGATAATGACTTTATGGGACAAAACTGAGAAATGAGGTCATTATTTGAACATTGTAAAATGGAGATGGCATCAACAGTTCTTGATAAAACCTGAGCAGTACAGCTTGAACAAATTAATCCTTAATATGACATGTTTTAGTGTTACAGCAAAACAGAATAATTACATCTTTTGTTAGTATTATTATTATCCTCTTATGCTCTTAATTTTATCTGCAAAATGGTCCAAATAGCCTTGTATGTGGACCTAGGAAATGTTAGTCCAGTGACTTATTTAAATGACTAAGCCTTTACATTGTATGAGATCCCTTCCCACCTGTCTGGGAAATGGTGATAACAGTAATTCTGTACCTTGCAGAGGGTCTGTGGGAGTAAAAAGCCAGCTAATGCCTGAAATTGCTCAGATGCAGCTATGATGATGGTCACACACTAGAAAGACTGAGAGAGAAAGATTTTTTTTTTGAAAGCCTGCCTGTAACTGCAGGGAAGGTGTTCAGGCTCCATTTGGCTATCATGTTAACCTTTTACAAATCTGGTGACAGAGGGAATAAATGGTATTAGAATGGCCATAGAAGAAATGCAAAGGAAGAGATCAACTCATTGGACCAATCTCCTGTCCCTTCTATGACCAGTATTGGCTTGGATGTGGTAGTTTGGGTTCAGACCCTTTCTCTGTTAAGGTCTCACTGGGTGGAGTTTGGGTAAGTCATTCATTCTTCTTAGGGGCACCACCTTTTCTTGACTACAGGCTGGATCAAATTGCTTATGTGGGGCTCTCTAAGTTTCCAAATTGAACATTCATGGTTAGCAGGTAACAGGATTTTTGTTGGGAGAACAAGCACTAGAACATGGTAAAACAATCACTTCAGAACAGGAGTACAAGAGAGCAAGCATTTAAAAACAAGACCTCTCTCATACTGAAATTTGTGTTTTTATTCTGTAGGATAAGTTATAGCATTGTTCTGAGAGTAAATACAGTTACAATACAAAGACAGAATGCCAGACAGGGGACACTTGGTTCTTTTCTGATCAAGTGAAATGGTTCTTGCACACATAACTGAGGCTCAAATTTTAGCTGAAAGACTTTGAGTTACATGGAATTCTTTGGGTGCAGGTGTTAATTAAGATGTTACATCTCTGGTTTGATAATGAACTGCTGATGTCTGACACTGGGGAGAAATCAGTTCACATAAAATCCAAGTGATTCCCCCTCCATTAAAGACAGAGAGGTGGGGAGGAAAACATTTCAGCTTGGAAACAAAAGAATTAAATTGCAAAGCATCTTTTCATCTCAGAATGGAACAGAAGTGCTTCTGAACCTTAACTTGTTTAAGTCAGTGGTTTAAGAAAAATTCTTGCATCAAATCAGTGAAAACAGTCAAGGTATAAACACTGTAGAATATACTTGGAACCAAAAGCATTTAATATTTATGTATATGAAGTGTGTATTTGGATCTATAAAACATAGTGCAATGTGAAATGGGACGTGAATATTTTGACACTGATGGGAAGCCATTGTGGGTTGATGTATTTCAATATATTGGAAGCCATTGAAAATAACTCACTGTCACACACAGAAAAAATATGCACTTGCCTGTATTATGAAAATATGCCAATTTTGGGGTTGTGTGTGCATGCACATGTGTGCACTGTTTTGTGTAGCTTCCTTCTTTTCGCACACCGCCCCCTCCTCCCCCAGTTCCATTGGGTGAAAATTCAGCTATTAGCTGTGCTGGCAGAAAGCAACATGTTTTTGTCTGTATTCCAGTGAGGGGTCATGCAAGGGGACTGTAGAAATGGTATCTTCCACAGCAGATAGTTAATCAGGGACTTGATGGAGTGGAATATTAGACAAGGGAGGAAGTAAAATAATAATCTTTTCTCAGTGAAATAAGAGAGATAGCTTGGAATGGCAAAATGCTTTTGTGTAAATATGACTTTTCTGGCAGCTATTGAAACTTCTTGAGGTGTATTTTAAGTGTATAAAACCTTCTCTTTCATCTGCAGAAGTCTTAAGTAAAATCGGAATATGCAGGATGTTGATGAATGTGTTTCTGTGCAAGACAATACTTTAAAGCAGCTCCCAATAACAATAAAATGCAAGCATCGATACAACAAAGGGAAATAGGCTGGTGAGATCCTATTTGCATAGGATGTCTTCCACCAAGGCTTAAATTCAGTCAGGACAGGGGGCTGAATTGTTGAGGAAGGGTCAGCCTTAATGAACAGCTAAGGGTGGGGAGGTGGGCTGAGCATGTGTGAAGTCATTTTTTCACATCTAGGATTACAGTCCAGGATGTGAACTTCAACAAATATTTTTTCTAGCCAGGCTCCAGCCCTGGCACCTCTTCTTTCAGAAATAAAGCATTATTTCATATTTCTCTGGTGCATTTTATTTCCCTCCTGAAGGTCTGTCGCTAAGTACCCCCGAAGCCTGTAACCAAGTCTCCTCTGCTCAGCCTGGCCGAGGCCTCTTGCCTTGTGCTGCTCAGCAGCCGCAGCCGCCGCAGCAGCCGCCGCCACTTCTGCCCACACCCCAGCAACAGCCAGCAATGAGTAATCACATCATATCACAGGTGAGTCACTGTTCGATGTCACTGTGTTCTGGAGAGTTCTTCCTCATGGTTTCTTAGCCAGGAAATAGAAGCTGAAGAGCTTTTGGAGCAGGAGTGCTCCTGTAGAGACCTAGAATGGTTTTATGAGTATGCAAACTGTCTCTATTAAACCACCCCCTTCTCTGTTACCCAGGTTGTTCTACAGAGTTGAGTCACAGTAGCAAAGCCTGGCTTCCCCACATATATATTGGGGGACGGGCATTTGAACCTGGCAGATCAGAAGGCAGATCGTAAGTATGCTAGGGTGGCTCTGCAGGGAAGCAGGAGCATCAGCTGTGGGGAGGTGCCTTACAGGTGGATGTAGTGGGGTGGAGGGGGAGCATACATTCTGCACCAAAAAAGTGGCTTTTGGTAACTGATCAAATTATTCAAGTTGGCTATACTAGGATCCTAGGAAGCTGCCTTTGACTGAGTCAGGATATTGATCAGGCCAGCATTCTCAAATCTGACTGGCAGCAGTGGCTCTCCAGGGTTTGAGGAGGAGTCTTCCTAGAGAATTCTACCTGGAGATGCTGGGAGTTGAATCTGGGAACTTCTGCATGCAAAACAGGGGCTCTAGCACTAAGTTGCAACATGCTAGCGACAGGGTAGGACAAGAAGTGGCCCTCCTTATCTATGAGAAGGCATACATTACTTCTTGCTGCCATCATGGATTTCAGCAAGCATTGGCCCTATGTTAAGTCTAGCTTTGTGGTTGTACATGCTGTAAACTTGTCTCTCCACAGTGAGGAAAGTGGAGATTTTTCAGGGTAACTATATAACTGCCCAAATTTTAATGTTTTTGTTTTTATGCAGTGTGGAGTAGTACTAGTTCACATTAATTTTTTAAATATCTCAATCTGGTGTACCGTAGTTGAGTCCTGCCCTGACATCTTGCCTCATGTTCAGCTGGCATCCTCAGACTTTTGCTTTGCAGGGAGTTCTAGGTATCAGCAGCTCAGGAAGCATATAGTTTGCAGAGATCACATACACTTAATGATCTGGCTTAGTCAAACATGTATTGGCTTAGTAACCCAAGATGTAAACAACACTTTTGCCTGTGTATGCAGCCCCCTTATTCCTCCCTTTATGCAAATTGCAATTAAACCAAGAAGTCTCTAACTATAATGTCTTGTTTTCTCCAAACTGGGGAAATTAGTTGCAGCTAAGCCATGGATTGAATTAATTTTAGGATCCTGGTTTGTTCTGAACCTAGCAACCAGGGTTTTCCTGGTTTGATTGAAATGGGAAGCTGTGGTTAATTGAAGACTTCTGTATTGCATTCAGATGTTCTGTGAAGGGAGGAGCAAAGTGACTGAGTGTGCAGGCAAAAGGATGGATTGTTCATATCTTAGCTGAAAGTATGATCACCCAAACACAGTCAGGCTGTTCTTCTCATTCTGAAAGAGTATGGTTGTGGTCTGTCTCCTCTGAATAATAGAAGAAGGACAAAGAAGCTTGGTAGTTTCATATGAGGTTCATGCTAAAGTGTCTTGCTTCTGGGGAGACGTGAGAGTTTGTTATGCACTTCTGCATGTGGGAATTGCCTGTACCAGCCACAGCATAATGACTGAGGTAGAACATCTGAGACCGTCCCAGGAGGCTCAGGCTCTTCTCCTGGGTGGCCTGTTTGTGTCTGGTTCTGTGCCCAGCTTCTTCCCTTTTCAGTTTCCTTTACTTGCCACAGAGAGCAGCAGCTCTCTGAAGTACTTGTTTAGGGAGCTTCTGCTTTTTGATGAACCTTATAAAATTCTTTCTAGCACAACCATATCAAGTCAGCTCTGGGATGGGCAGACTTGAGGCACGTGTGATCTGCTAGGGGTTTTTTCCTAGAACCCTGAAGTCCACTTATCAGAGCTAGGTATAAATTAATATGTGGGGACAGACAATGAATTATTTGCTGCACCCCATGAGCCATATGCTGGCATGTATGTGTAAATACATCTGAGTTGCTATAGATTAGGGATTCTAATATAAAACTCTCAAAGTGGGTCTCCACTTCGCAAAGACCTGGTCAAAGGACACCAATTTATGATCCCATTTTACTGGTGAGGAGCATTGGTATCAAAAGACAGGAGATTAGCAAAAGGCCTGCTAGCACAAGAAATATATATCTAGTTTTTAAAATTTCCATTTTACTTGTTCAGCTGCTGGGAGCCAAAGCCTTATTTATCTAGTACAGTTGCTGGTCTACTGCAGATACTCTTGAATGAAACTAATGACCTAGATCCATTCCAGGGCAAGTTTTGAAATGGACATTGGATTGATCACCATGTGGTATGGCCTTTGCTGAGAGATGGACAAAGGGGAAAGCAGCCAATTGATTCTTTTAGATGTCTTGGTGCTTTCAGTACTATCAACCAGGGGATCATTCTGGATAGACTAAATTGTATATACTCCTGCTCAGATGGCCATTTACAGAAGGTGGTGCTGTGGGATTATTGCTCTGCCTTGGCAAATATACCATGGCATTCCACAGGGCTCTGTAGTATCTCTTAGAATCATTAACATCTTCAGGAAATTTCTGGAGGAAGTTATCTGGAGTTGTGAACCAAGATGACACTTGGGTCTATTTCTACTTTTCATCAAATGCAGGAGAGGAAAAGGGTATGGATGAGGAACAATACATGGAGACTCAGTCCAGACAGTATGGCGGTACTATAAGTGGGTGGTTTGGCTAAGTGATAGCAAATATACCATGGAGGGGATAGATTTCCCACTAAAGGAGTGGGTTCTTATATTGGGGCTATGCTTGGATCAAGAATTAGCTCTAGAAGCACAGATGAACTTGGTGGTGTGGAGCATTCTGCATCCGCTTATGCTGATACACTGACTGTTTGGACAGAGACAGCCTAGCTATAGTTATCACACTCTTTATAACTTTATAGGAAGATAGTAACTCAAAACATGAGAGTTGTTCATTAATCTAAACAGGATAACTAAGAATAGAGTTGTAAAAGTCCTTGATAGATTGAAGAGTCCGGGTTTCACTCTCCTCATTCTAATGTAAATCTCATGTCTTGGCAATCTGTGCAGCACTTTCTAACCAGAACTAAATTTGCATTACTATTCTGACTGCAGTTTTATACACACTTACTTTGAAGTAAGATCCACTTAAACTCAATGGGACTTCTGAGTAGTAGAGATGCATTCTTACAGTATAAAGTAGCAATATATAGACTTGCACTCTTATGGTGGGTATATCTTCACACAGAAATTATATTCTTCAGCATGCTTATGAAAATGTTATTAACTTACTTTAGTAAAGCAGCAGTTGCAAGTATACTCAGCATTTGTGATGGTGTAGCAGCCTGGAGCTCCTGAAGTCACCTCAGAATATACAGTATATCATACTTTTTGTCATTTGGGAAAGCAGCAAAGAAATTAATTGAATGTGGAAACCTTGAAAATAGCAAACAAAAATGCTTTTATCTGGGATTTGAAACAGTATATAAACCTCATGTAATGTTATGCAGAAGAGAAATGAACAGTGGTTGAGAGAAGCTGAGAAAAGAAACCATCTTGTAATATAACCATGCAGTGGTAATAATTTGGATATTCTTTTACCCTTTATAATTCTGTTGAGGAACATAATATTACTTTATCACCTGACCTAGCCAGTGTCAATTTAGTGAATCCTTACTGGTTAGATTTCTGTCACACTTCATCTCAGGAAATAATCTTTCCCTGAAAATTATTCCCTATCTTAAGTATATTTGGTGTACAAAGGCTTGATAGAACCCTTCTCTCCTTTTCTTGTATCCTGGCCTTCCTGTGTTTAACTGGGAAAATAAAGAAGACAGTGGCATTTCTAAATCCAGTGCTTTTGTCTGGTCACATTCCTTGTGTGTTTGGGTGTTGAGTTGCATGGTCTTTTCTTGAGAGATCACAGACACATAAGGAGATGCCTGTCAGTTGTCTGCTGTTTTCTCTCCTGGTTTTTTGGTGTATCCCCAGAGTATTGTGGTATCTTCACCCATTTGGCTTTTTAACCCCCCTCTCCCCCCCCCCAAAAAAAGAAGTGAAATTAAATGAGCAATTTAGACAAATGGACTTCCATTTACCTTGGTGTAAATGAATGTGTTCCATCCCAACAAGTTTTCTATCTGCCATAAGCATAGAAGGAAGGCAGGGAGTGTTCTGCTGCTATGATCATGGCTGCTTTTAAAAATTTTCTTTTTGCAAAGCATAAGAACTAGCAAGATTGCTTGGGAAAAGGCATCTGCTTCCTGACCATTGTGGACATTCAGATGTCACTCTCCAGACTCAATTATTTAGACCCTGAGACTTTCTGGGCACCTGAACTTTTGCAGATCTGACTGTGATGGAATACATGGATATTTGTTGCATTTCAGATTCCTCAGGGATAAACTATCTGACATATTGCTATCCCCACTGTCTTTCTCTTGTGGCCAAGTATGTCCTGCTCCTTATTTTTTGCTTTCCTCTTAAAAGAAGTAGAGGGAAAAGCAAGAAAAAAGGGGTGTGGGAAAGAGGGTGAAACTCAGCAGCTGATGGTGTGTTTTCAGTCCTCTGTTCTATCTACATGTGCAATAACTAACCTTGTTCTACCTTTTCTTCTCCCTTCCTTTTTCTCCACCCCTTCCTTATGCCCGTGTCTTCCCTATCTTCCATCTTTCCCCCCTGCTCTGCTCTCAGCCGGTCCCAGCTCTGCAGCCCTCTCCACAGCCTGTTCAGTACTCTCCAAGCTCCTGCCCCCAAGTCCTCCTGCCGGTCTCTCCACCCCAGCAGTACAACATGGTATTAAAAAATCCAACTTCTTAGATCCTCTCTCTCTCTCTCTCTCTCTCTCTCTCTCTCTCTCTCTCTCTCTCTCTCTCTCTCTCTCTCTCTGCGCGTGCGCCTAGCATGTGTTTGTGCTTTTCTTAAGCTGAAAATTATTTTGTTGGCTACCCTGGGATTCCCTTGAAAGACAAAAAGGCAGAATATCAATATTGCAATGCTGCTAACTATCAATATTGCAATGCTGCTACTGTGACTTTGGGATCAGGATCTAGGTTAATGCTAACCACGCCTACTAACTTTGACTTCACTTCAAGAGGCCTTGAGAACACTTACTGATAATAATAGTGTATGCACAACTCTTGCTAATTTGTTGAGTGGGTTCCAGTTGTCTTTGCTCAGGGAGGCACACATTACACTGAAGGAGCAAACTGGGATGTAGCTTCATGAGAGTGTCACAGAGGTACTATGGGCCTGCAACACCCTATTCCCCATAACCATTGCTTTGAGATATTTTAGCTCCTGTGAGTCTTGTCTTCGCAAGATGAGCCCTCCCATCTTATTTCCACTGGTTGATGTTTTCTTGTTTTTAAATACCACCAGCATCCCACCATCAAAGTACCAGGGAAAGAACAGCAGGATGGCTGCCTTCCATCTGAGGCAAATCTCCCTGATTTGAGCAGGGATTCTCCCCACACCTCCTGCAACATACCAGTCTATTTTTGTGGAGTGGATTTTATAACAGTGATCCAGTTCACACTTGACACTGGGTCATTGTTATAAAACCTAAATTGCTATGTTGTATTGATTTAAATATGAATTGTCAGAAAACAGCAAACAGTAAGTTAACTCAGGCTTTTTAAACCCCTAAACAGCCTAATGTGTCTGAGTTTGGATGTCACACTAACACCCTATGAACAGGGTAATCATAGGTTGGTAACTGAAAGTAGAATTGTGGAACAAGCTGGGGGCAGCATGCTTACTTGCTCCTGCTTGTGCCTGGTCATTTTTGCATTAATTAACCCATGGTGGCATATTATTGGAGAACTACGTCTTTTCCTTTGAGTTAGGATTGCTGTCAGAAACTGCCTTGGTTGCCCTGAGGGATTTCTTTTGCCCGAATAATGACAGGGAGTGTGTCCCTGTTGGCTCTCCTGGACCTCTCAACAGCTTTTGATACCATTGACCATGGTATCCTCCTGGATAGCCTGACTGGGCTAGGAGTGAGAGGCACTGCCTTTCAGTGGTTCTGCTCCTGCTTGACTGGCTAATTCCAGAAGGTGGTGCTGGGGAATTTCGGCTCTGTGCTATGGCAGTTATGCCATGGAGTACTGCAGGGTTCCATTTTATCCCCCATTTGCCAACCTCTACCTGAAACCACTGGGAGAGGTCATCCAGCTCTACCTCTCCTTCTCATCTAATCCAGCTGAGGTGGTGATGGTTTTGAACCTGGATAGAGGGATAGATTGGTTGAGGTCCAATAAACTGAAGCTCAATCCAGGAAAGATGAAGGTACTGCTGGTAGGCAGGTCTCCAGTCCAAGTGAATGATACTTACCCTGTTCTGAATGGGGTTGCACTCCCCCTAAGGGACAGGGTGCATAGTCTGGGAGTATTCCTTGACCCAGAGCTATTCTTGGAATCTCTGGTGGCTGCTGTGGCAAGGAGCACGTTCCACCAGCTTCAGCTGGCCCATCAATGACATCCTTACTAGGACAGGCAGAGCCTAGCAACGGTAATCCACATTCTGGTATTCTCCCACTTGGACTATTTCAGAACACTCTACATGCGGCTACCCTTGAAAAATACTTCAGTTGGTACAAAACAGAGCAGCTGGACTGCTAACTAGGACTGGCAGACATGATCATATAACACCAGCCCTTTATCATCTTTTTTGGTTAACAATTGAAGTCCAGACCAGATTGAAGGTGTTATCATTGACCTATAAAGCACTAAACAGTTTAGTTCTTGTATATCTGGAGGGACGTCTCCTTCCATATACACTTGCCCAAACCTTAAGATCATCTACTGGGGCCTTCTTTGAAAGAGGCTAGACGAATGGCTTCTAGGGGGAGGGGCTTGTCAGTGGTAGTGCCCCAACTATAGAATCTGCACCCGAGAGAGGTGTGCCTGGCACCTACTCTTTCTTCATTTTGTTGCCAGACCAAAAGGCTTTTATTTACCCAGTATTTTAATGGTTAGAATGATTTGACTACATATTTTAATATATTGTAGATTGTGATTTTATTCAAGTGCTCTTGTGGATTTTGCTCTGTTACTGTTGTTCTGTTTTTTTTTTAATGTAAGCTATCCTGATTGAATATAGGATGGGATATAAATGTTTTGAATAAAATAAATAAGGTCAAGGACACTTTCAGACATTGGACAGCAACAAAATCTGGGTTTGCCAACATCTGTGAATTCGACAGGAGCTATACCCACTCCCATCTCTCTCAAGTTCCCGTGTTTTCGAAAGCCTGTTTGTGGTGTTCATAGATGAGACTTTTAGGCACATGTTTATTTTAAAAACACAATTTTGATGTACAGGAAAAAAAATGTTTGAAAACCCCCTGAGAAATGACAACAGCAAGCTTGACCTGATCATCTGGACAGGCCCTTTACCACCTACTTTGTGCCAGAGTTAGACTCCCTGTTAGCAGCTTCCTTTGCCAGAAATCTGCTGAAGGATGGGCTATAAAAAATAGCACGTGTAGTCTGAAGGCAGTTTCCTGGTTTAAGACTCCATCATCTGCTTACATAGAACCCCGCTCCCCCAACCTCCCAGCCAGGCTGTCTGTAGCATGCAGAGAGTTCAGGACTTTTTCCTGTCTAAACATGGATAAGATTGCTACCTTAGTATGAGATGTGGCACTAACAGCTACCAGATGGCACTCCCTTAACTACTCTGCATGATCAGATACAACAAGGTTAGTAACATCTTAGGTAATACATGACAGTTTACATGCTGCATTGGCCACAGTTTTCATCAGATGTGTTTCTGTAGCAGGACATGGCTGATATGGAGCTTCACAGTATGGCTGTAAGGTATGGTGACTGCGTAATCATGGTTCTGCTCCCTAGCAGTACATTTCCTCAATTTGCACAGTGCTTTTTCTGACATCATCCCAAAGGAAAGTCCATTAAAATGCAAGGGTTAAGGGAATTGTCCTGGCAGGGTTTAGTCTGTTGGTCTGATGCGAGCCCTGTGAATCTGCAGCCATGTCCTACAATAGTAATGAATTGGACAGGAATTCTAGCTTCATAGGCAATTTATACAGTGTAGGTTGATGGGGTTACAGGGAGAGGAGCTGCCATCCCAGATGGAATAAGGATCCAAACCTTTTTGTATATTGTCCTATATCTTTTTCTCTGACTGCAACACAGTGAAATGTGGATTGACCTGTGAAGGGTTCTGAGAATTCTTCCCGGGGGCACTGAGTTTGCTTTGTTCCAGTTTTTTCTCCCCAATGCATTCTAGACCTGTCCAACATTTGAAAGTACACAATGCCATGTTTATTTGTGATAGCATGCCCTGTGTAGTTCTGTGAAAACTCAGAAGTCAGATTTCCATGAGAGGCTACCCTATCATGAGACTGTCAGACATTGGGCACCACTGAAGGCAGTAATGGAGCAGTGAACAGATGCTGTTTCCTGAGGCACAGTCCCATTCATGGGGCACTGAGAAGACCACCTAAACACGCCTCATTGAAACACACACAGAACTGTATGAGGGTACTTCATTGTTCTTGTACAACTCCTATCCATTTGCATTTGCACCAGAGAACATCCCAGTGGTTTTTGTCCAGTATTAATGAGTGGCTGGACAAAGTGTGTGTTTGTGGGGAGGGGTGCCATTTCCATTTTACTGTTGCCTCAAGACATCAAGGCATCTGGGGCCAACCTTGAGAGGCAAGAGAATTTAACAGTTCTGCTGCAGGGTAAATATTACGCTTATTTTGCTTCTCATAGCTTGCTGGCTGGTCATATGCTAATGTTGCTCTTCAGCTGAAGTGTGGCTTGTTCCTTTGTTTGAGCTCTGGGAAAGTCCAGGAGAGACTTACAGTATCCATCAGTATACTCATTCTTCATGATGATCTCATAACAGGACCTTAGTGGTGCGATTTGCTTTGAGCTGCATCACATAGCATCAGGAATATTTATTTCCTTCCCAGACACCAGAGACCAGTAGGGAATTGTGCTTCTCCTGCCTGAATGCCATCATGTGACAAGTGTATGTGTGTACCTTGCTATGCATATATGTGGTGATCATCAAGGATGGTAGATTTCTGCATCCTGCTGCCATAATAGAATGACTGAGCACATTGCCTGTGAGAACTGGCATCAGGGGAACTCTCACAATTTAAGTTTATATTAGTACTGGGTATTCATATGTCACTGTTGTGTGTTAATCCAGGCCTGGCCCTCTCTACCCTACCTGTTATTAGAAAATATACCATGGTTCTTTTGAAAGTCCCTGTCCTAAGCTGCTTTAAAGTGGCTTTTCTCAACCTGGTGCTTTCCAGATGTTTTGGACTGCAACTCCCATAACTCCCAGCCAACACCTGCAATTATGCCAAGTGGGAATGCTGCAGTAAAGCAAATCCCGTCTATTTTGCCTAGCCTGCCAGCCCTTACCTTGGAGATATACCCTTCTTATCCATAACAATGAGCTCTTGGAATTTTTCCCTTGTCTTGGAGATGCCCAGATAATCAGTGATGGCTTTGTCAAATTGAACATTTTATGCTTTCTAGCTGCTGCTGTCCTAATGCATTCTCCCACCCTCTTCCTGCAGAAGCTGCATGGATAGCTATGTAATATTTATGTCGCAGTTAGGAAAACTAGAAGTGTTCCTTTGCTCCATAAGCCCTTTCATGATATTATTGTATCAGTGTGGGAAAAACTGATCTGTAGTTGTTCATAATTCTTTTGTTCCCTTTTTCTTTTATACATTGGGTTAGATTTCCTTTGCTGCATTTCTTAATTGTTTTTGGGTATAACAGTAAGATAAGGAGCTAGTTTTTGTCTGTATGCATCTCATACCTAGAATGTAATTGTTTCACTTGCATTGACCTATATTTTGGACGGGAAGAGATCTAAGTTACTAACATGGAATGAAAGATTGCTGAATTCTCTCACCCTCCTCCTTTCTTTTCTTTCAGCTGTAAACACTCCTCCTTCAGCATGTCTGTTCTGCAGCCAGTGGCCATTTTTGTTGTTTGCTGTATGCATTTTCTCACTTCGCGTTCTGTGCTGATAATTCTTTGAAGCTGTGCTCATTGCAGTGGGGCAGGTGTTGTGGAAACAACTCAGGGATGCAATTATTCAGTCTGTCTTTTTCCTGTCTTCTGGCCACAGGCTGATGAGCTCAGTAACCCCTTTGGGCAAATCAGCCTCAGCCGCCAGGGTTCCACAGAAACACCAGATCCGTCTTCAGCTATGTTCCAGCCACCAATCATGTCCCAGCACCCTCAGCAGACTGGATTCATCATGGCTTCCCCAGGGCAGCCAATCACTGCCTCCAACTACTCTGCCTCGGGACATACGGCACCAGCCCAGCAGGTCTTGCAGCCCCAGAGCTATATGCAGCCTCCCCAGCAGGTAAGCTCTCTGCCTGTATGGAGTTCGGTGACTGTTAAGGAGCACCAGCTGTTGCTGGGAAGAGTAGAAAAGAGTGCAGAAATCCATCCTCAATAGAACCTGAGTCAAACTGAGTATTAGGGTCATGTAAGCATTTGATCAGACAAGCTAGCTCAGGCTTTAAATCTAAGTTGAGCATCAGGAGGGGATAGGCTGAGTCTGCTAATATCACCTGAAATTATATAAACCACTCCTCCCCCATTTACATAGGTGTTAATGAACTGAAAGATGGATGGTGGGAGAGGAGAGATACTGGTTTTCCTATGGCCCAGTCCCATGTCTTTCTCACCTGTCTGAATATTTGGTGGAGCTAGAAAGGCTCAGGACATGTGAAAGGGCTTTTGTTTCTGGTTGGTTGTCATTCTTTTGCAAGGGGAGTAATTTCCAATCATTCTGGAAATTCTGGTATGCTTTTCCTTGCAAGGGTTCTCCAAGGGTCTGCGACTGGTTCCTGGGGAGGAGCTACTGGGAATGTCCCCCACTGAGAGGGCTCTTGATCTGCTTTTGCTGTAATCAGTGTCCTTTTGAGTGTCTTTTCTGCTGGGGCCCCAGGGCTCTGCCCTGCCAGTGGCCCCTGCATCCTATACCTGCGTTATTTACTGACAATATCATTTCTCCCTCTGACAGATTCAGGTTTCTTACTACCCTCCTGGGCAGTACCCAAACTCTAGCCAGCAATACCGACCTCTCTCTCACCCGGTGGCCTACAGCCCACAGCGCAGCCAACCGCTGCCTCAGCAGTCACAGCAGCCTGGTAAGTGTGCAGCACGTGCCACAAACAAGCAGCGAGCTTAGCAGTGTCAGGCAGATCCAGGCCATCTTGCCCTTTCTTGGAGCCAGAAGGAGCAGGCCTATTTATAGGGTTCAAGTCATGCGCATGCAAAGGATCTTTGAGAGAGCAGATTTAGCTTGGCTGTAAGGCTCAGATGGGCGTCAGGTGTCCCTCTGGGTCACAGGGACTTTAGGCGGTTACTATCCTTCAATTTTGCATGCATTTCAAGGCTCAGGCCTGCTAACTTGTTTATTGCGCATAAGCACAGAAGGGTTCTAGGTTTTCAGTTATCAAGAAAGCCTGTGTTGATCAATCCATTATGTTTTCTGAGCTTTAAAAGCACACAGTCCGCTGTGTTTGCAAGCTTTGAAGGAAGCTGCAAGGAAGGCATGACTAACATACTTGTGATGGGTGAGCCCCGAGGAATTGGATACACCGTGGGCCAAAGCAGATATTGTGTAAAATGGCAGTCACACATTTAGCAGTTCATCCCATCTGTTACATGTGTTTGCCTTGGTCATGATGGCACACTTCTCCAGATTCCTCCTCATTCATCAGCAACCTCCAGCGATGGGTGGGTGTCACCAGGGCACGTTGCCCATCTTGACTAGAAGTTATAAAGGAGAGAGGCAGCCATAACAGTCAAGCATTTAACACAACACATTCTGCCCTAGCTGAGAATGGTGTCTTCCCAACTTGATAAAATTCTAGATTTCTTCTGGCTTGGAAGCTCTTGTAGCCCAGCTCACTCCTCTGAGACCAACCACATTCACGTATATAAAAATGCTTGAGTTATCCATGCACTTAAAATATTAAAACAGGATAAAGAAGAACAGTCCCAGGACACCAGTCAAGTATACTGATAGCAAAGTATGGTGCTTGGTTATGATAGCCAAACTGACTACATAGACTGGCTACATACAAACTGCCACGCTCACTGTTTTAAACTTGGTATCGCATTTTAAAACTTGGTGCTGTTGCTAGGTTTCACTCCCATTTTCACTTCTGTTCTATACATAACTCTTCACTAACTAAAGATGTTATGCTGTGTTTTATACTGTATTTTATGTTTTAAATTGTTTTCAAATTTTGTGACTCACCCAGAGAGCTTTCAGCTGTTGGGCAATATAGCAATGTAATAAATAAACCAACTCCCAAGATTTGCAGAATTAGAAAAATAACTTTGGTGGGGGGAATCCCTGAAGAGTTAACCTACCCCCCGAAACAGCCCATGGAGGCTTGTGTGTGCTCTAAGTCACAGCATGATAAGTGTGTTGGGGCAAGAGGAATGGAAGACCATGGGGAGGCATGGAAGTGGGGTGTCCTGAGGGAAGGCGTGGCTGACATGAAAGAGGGGTACTCCATGCAGCAAGTCCCAAATGTGAAGTATTAAGATTTGTTGTCTTGTCATGCTGCAGGTTTACAGCCAATCATGTCCAACCAGCAGCAGACATACCAAGGTATGATCAGTGTGCAGCAACCCCAGGGCCAGAGTCTCCTCAGCAACCAGCGTAGCAACATGGGTAGCCAGATGCAGAGCCTGATGGGCGTGCAGCAATCTCAGAGCCAGAGCCTCCTCAACAGCCAGCGAGGAAATATGGGCAGCCAGATGCAAGGCCTGATGGTCCAGTACACTCCACTCCCTTCATATCAAGTGAGTGATGACAACAGATGGGTGCCAGAAGGGTGAGGGACGGTCAACGTGGCAACTGCACTGTTGAAGCACGGGACCTCTGGTCTGAGGGCAGTAAATCCCACACAATATGCCATTTCCTTTGGTTGTTTAGAAATCCTCAAGTGATGCTTCATGCACTTTAAGAAGACACAAACATAGCTCATGCCAAACTCATTAGGGTTCTGGGGCTGGACTGATACTTAGAATAAAGCTGCAGGCATGTGCCAAATCTCCCCTACTCCTCAGTGGCTTGCTGATATGTCGCATAGTACAAGCCGCTGTCTTCCTGTTGTGTCTTCATTGCCAGCGTCAACCAGAGCTGTGGAAAGGGATGAACTTGGTGATGTCAGGGGAAGGGAATGTGTTATTACATGTTGCAGAGGGGCAGAGTGGAAACTCGCTGTGGGCCTGTTACTCTGGCAGTAGCCCTGCATTTATTGTAACAAGTAGCTCTGACCTTATTCCATAACTCTTTATTTATAAAACATTTCTGTCCAGCCTCTCCTGCTATTTTGCGACAGTTCACAAAAACAGTGGGACAGTGCTAACAATCTTAAAATCAGACCATTACAGATTCAAACATCTAACAACCTGCAGATTGCAAACCACAATTTGCTGTTGATGTTAGAAGTAAACTGTGATGATGTAAAGCAGTGGTGAGCTCTATTATTTCCGACTAAATCAGGGTTTGAGCTCCCTGATTTCACTCCCAAGGTCTAGAGAAGTACAAGCTGTATTATCTCTCTTCTGCTGCCTTTTTCTCCTCTCCTCTCCTCTGGAAGCCCAAATGCAGTGGCTGTTCTGAGAAGTTGGTCTAAAATGCAGAAGGCAATTAGCAGTAACAGTCCACTGGATGTTGTAAATAAACAGGCTTCAGTCCAGAAGCCTGAACAATACAAATCCAAAACCCTCTTTGCAACAGGTGGGTCTTTTGCTTCCTCCCACCCCTTTCTGCAATTGACAGTTGAGCACACCCATTGTGTCACCAGTCACTTATTGGTTGGCTGTGCTGCTTGAGCGGCACATACAGAGCCTTGCAGGCTGACTGAGATGTGCAGTTCCCTGGGTTGTGACCCAAGTGCTCAGATGGGGCATAGTCTGAGAATATGTGCCATGAAAAAGGCTGAGGACTCATTGTATTATATCTTCCTTCAGCCCCCAAATCAGAGGTTTCCAACATGCAATAAATAGTATTTTTGTTTGCTTACTCTCACCAGTGAATCATGCAAATTCATTTTTCATCTGTATTACAAAAGTTGGTTTTTTTTAATTGCAGACAGGGAATGTGTATTTTGGAGTGAACAAATATTTAGTTGATTATTTTATTAGTCCCAATTATCTCATCTTCACACAGCTGTTTTTGTACGGGGTGATCACTCTAGCAAAATGCAACCATTGTTGGAATAAGTTCTCTGCTTATTATCCTGAGATTCATTAAGCATCAAAAAGGGAGGCATGAGAATGGGGTGGATGGAGCAAAGCTAGTAGATACTAGGGAAAGAATTGCTATACAGAATAACCCCCACCTCCTCAATGCTCTCTAGTTTTTAAGCCATGGAAAAATGCCTTCTGACGCAGGTATCTTTTTCCACAATCATGAGGATAAAATACTCGCTCCTTCCTAAAACAAATGCTAAGCATCCAGGGAATTTTGTCTGCTGTCTTGAAGTGTACATGAGGTCTGTGATTCCAAGGAACTGGAGTGTGTTGTGCAGTACTCCATTCAATGACATTCTCCTATTTTCCTAATTAATAGGTTCCACTCCTTTTCTTCGCCCCAGCAGGTGCCAGTGGCTAATGAGTCTCAGGGTGTGGTCCAGCAACCCTTTCAACAGCCTGTGTTGGTATCGGCAAACCAGTCTGTTCAAGGAGGACTACAGACTGGGGGGATGTCAGTCTATTACAGTGTTATCCCACCAACCCAGCAGAATGGTACCAGGTAAGGACATGAGCAGAGGCCCTGTTCAGTGCCCATTCTTAGGCAGATGTCAGCTTGGTGACAGCCCGGGCCAGAGCTTTCACAGCCTCACCTTCTCCTCTGGAGCTTCCTTTCTTAATACATCTGCTAGTTTTAGTAATCAAATACAAACCTGTCTTAATGGCACCAGGTTTTTGAAGTGGGGAAGGATTAAGTGATTTAGTCCCCTTGCATGCTGCAAGCTGTTTTGGAAATTTTTCTTTCAGAATTTTGTTTTACACATTGTGTTTTTGTTTTTAAGGAATTGGCATGCTTATGGTTTTTGTGTGACCTGCTTTGAGGGTTTGTTGCCACAAAAAGCAAACTGACAAAAGGCAAGGAGATAAAGAAATAGAATAAAATGGAGCCCAGGGTGTCAGAATAAGTTTGAAAGTAAGAAGATGTCAGGAATCTTTTTGGGAATGGGAACCTGTCAGATTCCTTGGGCTTGGCTCCCTGGGCTCTGGTCCACTTTGCAGTTGCCCTGAGTCCGAGTCTCTGAAGAACGCTCTCAGGATTCACAGGGTGCTTGCCATGAATTGAACCCCACATTCTGTGGAATTAGCAGCCCTCTTCTGCACCTGGTGTCAGCTACCACCTTTGCCAGGCAGAGAAGGTCAGTCACCAGGAATGGCGCCCCTCTTCTATGGCCTGCAGCTGCCCTTTGGGTGATGGCACCTGATGCATTTAAAAGATTGGCATTCAGCAAGAAGTTGCTCCCCAGATCCATATTTCTTCTCTTGATACCACCCATTCAGTGCTGTGGAACTGCCAGTGGAATAGTAGGGATCATTGTCTGGCTCATTTTCTTTCTTGTGATCCTTAGTGTACAAATGTAGATTTTAAAAGGTTGCTAGCATTTTTCCCAACTGAAATGAGTGATACTCTCCAAAGCTGAAAACATCCTCAGAAAAGATTGTCATTTATTCATTATATTTCTATACCACTCAATAGCCAAAACTTTCTGGTTTACAAAAATTAAATCTCTGAAAATACAATATAAATGTAATATTAAACCATTTGTATATAAAATATAAAACAATTACGCACAATCAACATTAAAAATCCTATGGCCTGTTAAAAATCTTACATGCTGTCAGTCATCTGGGAGTTGGGTAAAGATGATGGTGTTGGTGCCAGGTGGAGTGCACTGGAGACAATGTTGCATAATCAGTGGGCCACCACTGAGAAGGCCTTTTCCCTTGTTTCAGTCCTCTGACTTACTCAGAGGAGGAACTTGAAGGAGGGCCTCAGAGGAAGATCACAGTGTACATTCATTTTCTTACCTGCATCAGAAGTTCACTGAAAGAAGCTGGGAGAGCAGAGGCATTGACCTTTCATGTGGGTGTTCTGCAGGCCATTTCACCAGCCTCTCCCTGCACAAGAGAAGTCTCTTTTCTGTAAGTGATCAACTATTCAACCTGTAGACCTCTCTGGGGTAGGGCATAAATACCAATCTGTAAAGCCAGCTAGACAAAGAGGAAATTCCTATGTATATCCAAGAGGATCTATGATGTCTCCCTGTAGTGCTGAATAAGTATAATTGAGTAGGAATCACAGTAATTAGCATCAAACCAATGAAAGGTGCTGGAAGTTATCCAGCCCAACTGGGCTTGGGCATGGCTGCCTTTCAGAAGCATAGCTGTTGCTTTTTGCTGTGGTGTTTCTGCTGCCTCAATGGATCTCCCTTTCCTTCCCAGCCCTTCCGTTGGCTTCTTACAACCCCCTGGGACAGAGCAGTACCAGATGCCCCAGTCTCCATCACCCTGCAGCCCGCCACAGATGCAGCAGCAGCAACAACAGCAGTATTCAGGTAAGACAGGTTACCTTGCAGCTTAGAAAAACGGGGCCTGCTTGGCAGGGTGTGGCTTCTTCCCAGATACATGTTTCCCCAATGATGGCTAGAACCCACAGGATGTTTTGAGCTGACCAGCTCCTCATCACTGGACTGGGGTGGTAAATGCTGCTGCTCAGGCTCTGGATTCCCTAGAAAGAGAGGGGCCATCAAGTCACTTCTGCAAGCAACGAAGCCTTTCAGTCAGGCATGCTCTTGGCCCATAAGTTAATAACTTGCCATTGTGCTTCTCTGCTTCTTTGTACAGACATTTACCCTGCTTTGTTTTTGCATTTTTAACCTTCTTTTACTGCTGTTTTATTACGTACATCTTGTTCTGCCTGTATCATTGCTGTTAGCCATCTTGAGCACCATTTTGTAGAGAGGCAGGTTATACATTTAGCAGATAAATGTATGAACCAACAGTATTAAACATGTCTGGAAAGGTTCCGATAGCCCCACATGCCTGCTCCCATAAAATTGAATGGGAAGACTGTGACCACCAAGCCACATGCACCCTGCTCAAGCTACATGCCCAAATTGGGCATGCTTGGTACATGTGAGTCCATGCTGGATCATCTCTGTCTGCATCCTGTTACTTTGCCTGTGTACAGAAATGAAGCGTGGTGCTGGCTTTCTTCTGGCTTTGGGCTACTTTTGGCCTGTGCATCTCTGCAAGCAAGAGGTAGCTTTTCTTGCATTCTGAGCAAGAGGGTCAAAATATTTCAACTGGGATTGTGGCACCACCTCTTGGTGGCTCAGGCATACTACAGATTGTGCTTCTGGGTTCCTTTGGCCCATTTCATGACAAGACTTGCCAAAGGCCACATGATGAGCTGGGATGAGTGTTTTAGTCTATGAATTGATATCTTGCTTTGAAAGTACCTCTCAAGGCTGCAGTGGTAGAGTGCAGAAAAGCCATTGTCTGACAGGTAACTTCTGTGGAGGCCAGAGTAAAGGGCAGAGGTGTTTTCCTTGGAGGGAGCTGGCAGCCACTAGCACCCTTTTCTTCAAAGGTGGTATTTGATCTTGGCTTGGAGCCTGCAGCTAGTTCTTCCCAGGATTGCTGTATACTGATGAAAGAACCAAGTGTGAGCAGCTGGCCCTGGTGAAATGGCAGGGAGCTAGCCAGATTCTCTCTGTCTCTCTCAGTGTAGCAGCAGCATAGAGTTTGGATCCACTTATTCTCTCTACCTCTCATCTGTGGGCGCACACAACCTGAATCTTGTGATTTGGTACCCAGCTGTTGATTCCAGTCCCTTGCCTGGACATGAAAGTAGCTGTAGCCATTGTGCTGCCATGCCTCAGCACCTGCTCCCTGGTAACCTCCTCACAAGATACTGTGCTCTCAGTGATCTGTGAAACAGTTTAGTCAGTTTTCTTTTGTTAGCCTCCCCGAAGAAGCACTAGAAGCTTCTGAACAGGCAAGGCCATATTTGTAGAATCAGAGTATTAACCAAGAGGGTGTGGTTTATTGTTGGCTTTCCACAATCAAAGTGGAAGAAATGTACAATCTGATTGGGTTCTGTGTTGCCACACAGCTTGGTGGTTTCCTGTTCCATCTGTGCACCCTGTGAGAGAGAATAGGGACAAGTAGGGCTTTTATCACCCTTCTTAACTTGCATCCTCAGACAGTTCCTAAAAATGTGCAAAAACTGGTAGCTATCCCTCATCATTGCCTAATTAGACTGTCCTTGTAAGCCCTTCTAGCATTTGAAGTTTCCTCCATGTTTCACATAAAACCACACTATTTATCAGAAAAGTTGTGGAACAAAAAGTACATAAGAGTAGGAAGGCATAGGAGATTTAAGTTCAGAGGCAAAGGTTTATTATTCAGGAAATCAGAATCATGTAGCATTTGAACACTTTTTCTTTGCTTGTTTAAGAAAAGGTGCTTCAAAACTGTCTAGAAGGCAAATTTTCCTTGCCCTCCAGATGGTTAAAAGGATGGCATATAGAGACTTCATGAACCCTTTCAAGACTATTTCAGAGCATCTAAAATGGAGCTGCCTGCGCATTTCCTGGGCCATCTCTGACTTGGAGCAGTTTCAGCCAGACTGTAGATTGTTAGAATGAACAGAGGAATGCACACAGTCTGCCTTTAAAATAACAAGAGCAACCACTAAACTCTTCAGGATTGGTAAAGGGTACCCACTTTTCTGATTGCGTTATTCTGAAAGTCAGTGTGGTGTAGTGGTTAAGAGCATGGGACTGGGACTCAGGTGATCTGGGTTTTAGTCCCTGGTTGGCCATGGAACTAACTGGATGACTTTGAGTGAGTCACAGACGCTTAGCCCAACCTACCTAAGAGGGTGGTTGTTATAGGATAAGAGTGAGAGCAGCAGCAGGAGAATGATGTAAGTCGCTTTGGATTCATTGTTAAAAAAAAAATCTAATAAATACGGGTTAATCAATGCTAACTGACCTGTTTGGCTTCCTTTAAGTAAAGCATATAGCATTTTTGTAGAGCAAACAGGAAGGCAGACAGGTAGTATGCAAATACATCTTGGAAAGGCCTGGTCAGAGGATAGGTGTCAGTCCCCATCCTGTGTGTGACAAGGAGAGAAAATAGGAGTTGAGGCCTTTATAAAATGGAAGCTAGACCGTTTTAACCAGCTTTACCTTTCATGGTCACCTAGAAGTCTTTAAATAGTTTAAAACATTTTTCCCTGACTGGTGTATTTAGTTCAAGTCAGGAAAACATGGCTACGCCTAGACAATTGTGCTGTTTCTATGTGCAGAGAGCAATAGGGTAATTGATTACCCCATGTCCATGTGGTCTCCCATCTCTAATAGTCTTGTACTTGCTAGGCCAAGTACATCCTAGGGGCCACTTCTGTCAGGCTGGATGTGGATTATTGAGCATGTCACTGGCCTGTGCATAGTAAATACATGGTTAGTGAGTTATACAAGTCCAAAGTAGTTTTTGTCAATTTTTCTTGTGTCCATAACTCTGATTATGTATTTCCCTGTTTTCCTCCATAGGAGTGTCTCCAACAGGGCCTGGCGTTGTAGTAATGCAACTCAATGTGCCTAATGGCCCCCAACCTTCCCAGAATCCTTCAATGGTGCAATGGAACCACTGCAAGTACTATAGTTTGGACCAGCGAGGTCAGAAACCTGGAGACATCTACAACCCAGACAACAGCGCTCAGGTAGAGAGGATGGGGAGGAAACTGATGGAAGAGGGGGAAAGGGTTGGTTGAACATAGTAGATTGCATCCTCCCTGGCCTCTGACCTTTCTTTCCTTTTCCCACCCCTCTCACTAGGCCAGCAGCACCCAGCTGAATAGCCCCATCACGTCCCCCACACAGTCCCCTACGCCGTCACCTGTCACTAGCCTCAACAGCGTTTGCACAGGTCTCAGCCCTCTCCCAGTGCTCACACAATTCCCCCGGTCTGTGGGCCCAGCACAAGGTAAGAAGGTTGCTGGGGAGGTTTCATTGTGGCTGTGTGTGTGTGTGTGTGTGTGTGTGTGTGTGTGTGTGTGT